CGGCGTGTCATTCTGCCTCGGTGGCTTCTTTGTGTTGTGGGAGTGACACCAGCGCTTGTCGAAACTCTCCTCTGCTCTCTGTGCAGGTTTGTGGAAAACCCAGATTTCCAAAATGAATAAAGATGCCCAGATGAGAGCAACCATTAACCAAAAGCTGATAGAAACCGGAGAGCGGGAACGGTAAGTTGGCGTCCTACTCCGTGCCCGTGAGAGGCTTTAAATACATCAAATATGAGCTACACCTAGAAGTAGAGATTAAGTAAACTTAACTCTAAATTCTTCAAGTGCCTGCACGTGAAAGTTTTAGGTATTATATAAAACCATTTAAAAAACGCCTTTTGAACAGTTTCATTTTAGTTTTACACTTGAAAAGAGATACTGGGGAAGTAAAGGATGGGGTAGTTGGCTTATGAACACTTATTCTGATATTTTATGTTGAAATACCCCTGGTTCATATAAAAATCACCACTGTTATTTCCTGATTAAGAGATTGAGACAAAACTTTTTGCTTTTAAGTTTTTCTTATGTTTCTATCTCTTCTGACGTTAGGGAAAGAAGTACATGGTAGAACACATAAAACAGCACTCGTGCAAGTCATTGTAGAGATCTCGATAAAGACAAACAAGCAAATTGGGCAATGTAATGTGGCAGCCAGTTCTTGGCCTTTTGTTGTCTCTTCCCTCTGTTTTATTTGCATTGCATTTACATATCATTAGCATGCTTATGACATTTCCCTCATTGTTTCACTGTGCTTGTAACCCCATGCACCAAAAGCTCCGTTTGCTTCATTTTCAAAGGCTTGTATGAGGAGTTTTTTCCTGGGTCATGGTGTAGCCCTGTACCTGGTGTAACCTTTTGCAGCCTGACGTGGTATCTGTGCTCCACTTCTCTCCTGTTTGTGACCATCCCCTTGTAGATTGCACAGAGCTTCAGCAGAGCAAGCAGTTTCTTGAAATGATATTGGAACCTATTTTATCCTAATTTAAGAGTAAGAAGAGTTTTAACAGAGTGTCAAAAGCTGTATTATAAACTGGCTTTGTCAGAGCTGTACTGTGATCAGAGGCAGAGCACTTGGAATTTCTTTAATTAAGAAATATCCAGAAGCAGTCCATTTCACCTGTGTTGTTACTCTGCTTTTTGTCATCATTTCATCTGCCCTCTACACAATTCACTGAATAAAAGGGATTAGACCTGCACAGTTCAGCATCTTGCTGCAATCCTTTCATTTATAAAACTGGAGTTTTGCCAAGAGCTATTTAGGATGATACAAGATAAGCAGGATTGCTAACTGATGGAATAAAGAGTAAAGATATTAAAGCTTATTTTATCATAGTTTATTTTCATTTTCCCTTCTGATTTTTAATACTAATTTACACTTTTTTAGCTTGCTTTCAATATTTTTTTTGGTATATGGAGGTAATGTGTAACTGGGGAGAGAAGCCTGCAGTTGGAGACAGTCATGCAGAATTCTCTTTTCAGAAGGCGGAGGGAAGGTTTTACTTATTTTGAAGACTTGGTTTCAAGTGAAATACTCCCAACTTTGAAAGTTAGCATACATCTGCTACGAGAGTAGACTCAGGCAGTTCAAATGATCCAGGGGCTTCTACTCCTTTGCTGTGGCTGCAGCATCAACGCTGCCTGAAGAAATTCTGTGAATTAGCTCCTGAGCCACCAAGTCCCCATAGTCTAATGGGGTAAACTGAAATTGGTACTCATTTGGTTTAGGATTCATGTGCTGTTCAGCCATTTCTGCTGCTGGTCTGGGAGTTCTTGGGTGGTAACTGTAGGCTTAACTTTCACGCTGAAGCATATTTAAGCTGTCATGAGTGTTTGCTGTTCCTAACAAGTTTGTATATTGTCTTAACAGCCTTAAAGAGTTGCTGAGAGCCAAATTAATTGAATGCGGCTGGAAGGATCAGTTGAAGGCACATTGCAAAGGTAACTGTGGTCAAGTAATTAGTATCCTTTGTAGTCAACTGAGATGAAGGCTGCACTGCCTAACAGTCAATTTAAACGAGACCTGGGAAAGAGGAAAGTATCCCTGGCAGTTAGTTTTCCATGCAAGAAAGCGTTTCACTATCTTGGTAAAAAAAATGTTGGAAGAACTCTGATCTGAACCTTATTAAGCTTCTGAGACAAGGGTAGGAATTGATTCCCTAAATATTAATGATGATACAGCTTTTTGTTTTGAGAGAGATGACTTCATTACTACAGGAGAATAAAAAACAAGATAAAGGAGAATTGAGCAAATAGAGTGGTTTGTAGCTTAGAAACTTACAGAACTTGCAACTTACAGAACTTTGTCCACACATGGGATAGAAATAAGTGCATTTGGACTCTTTCTGAATACAATTCTTAAAAATAAGGTAATCTGCTTAGAGGAGCCAAACAAGCAGATGAACTTCTAAATACCAAAATATTTAGTTTTGAGTTAAGTGTTTAGCATTACTACAATTTACTGATTTGTAAATCATATGAAACTGTTATAAATACTATTTAAGCATCCAGGAATATTACCATGGGATGAAATTTCCTTAAAGCAAATAACAAATCCCTTGAGATTTCACTTTAATTCTGATTTGGTCTATTGTGCCTGGAAACTCAATATTCCATTACAAAGTTGTTTGTTTTTTTCTGTAGGGCTGGGTGTGTTAAATTGTTTTCATAGGTTCAGCAGAGAAGGCTGAAATTATTCATGCTTGCAGTCGTCTGGCTGATGCCACTGCCAGAGATTATCCATTTCAATAGTACAGATAATGAAAGGGATGTTTATTTGCCTTCTCAACTATATGCTTTACACTCTGCTATAGTAAAGAAATGTAAAATTATTTGGCTTACATTAGTACTTTGAACTGTAACTGCAGCTGCTGAGACTGGAAAAATATAAGTTAATTTGTCTGCTTTAAGAGCCTAATAACCTCCAAAAGAAAGGACAGAGAGACATGGAGCTCCTGGAGTGGGTCCAGCAGAGGGTGACAAAGATGATTAAGGGATTGGAGCATCTCTCTCATGAGGAAAGGCTGAGTGAGCTGGGCCTGTTCAGCCTCGAGAAGAGATAACTCAGAGGGGACCTCATCAATATTTATAAGTATCTGAAGGGACGGTCTCAAGAGCCAGGTTTTTCTTGGTGATGCCAAGCAATAGGACAAGAGGCAATGGGCAGAAACTGAGGCACAGGAAGTTCCACCTGAACACGAGGAAGAACTTCTTTCCTGTGCAGGTGACCGTGCACTGGCACAGATTGCCCAGAGAGGTTGTGGAGTCTCCCCTACTGGAGACACTCAAGAACCGTCTGAACACAATCCTGTGCCATGTGCTCGAGGATGGCCCTGCTTGAGCAGGGAGGCTGGACCAGATGACCCACTGTGGTCCCTTCCAACCTTAAACATTCTATTATTGGGGAAGGTTGTTTTGTTTTGGTATTTTTTTTTTTTTTAGCTTGTTCTAGAGCTTCTTGCCATTATGGATTAGGACCAATAATTGAGCAATCCAGGATTGCTTAAATCAGGGAGTTCAGCCAAAAAAAGCAGTTTACAAATAGTTCATGTGATGTCAGTTCAGAAAACATTTAGTGTCTTGGGGACAAACAATCCTATGTATTGACATACAGTTAAAAACATGTATGTTTAAATAATATTTTAGGTTCATGCTACTGAATTGAGATTACTTCTCAGCTTTGACTTCTGCATTCTTCACTAGAGTGCAAGACACTATAAGTAGACAATTGTTTAAATACAGATGTGTATTAATCATACACTATATCTTAATCATCACATTTATTTTGCTATAGTTGTATTCCTTTCTTCCAGAGATACTTTTTGACTTTGCTGAAATATAGAGACATGTTGTTTAAACAAGACAGGAAGAATAGTAAGGATTTACTGTCCGTACTCTCCCTTTTTGTATGTTCCAAAGTCTTTTTCCAGTTGCATCTTTCTCGCTATTATGTAAATAATATGTTCTAAGAGATAAACAGCCAACTTGTGCTACAACACTCCAGTAATAGCCACATCTGGTAATGCTCAGATGAGATAAAACTTTGTAATGTTTGCTTTTAAAATATGAGCTGAACAAGATGCATCAGAAGAGACAAGTTCCCATCCTTTAACCTGTGGCACGAGTGAGAAACTAATCCACTGTAAAATGCAGTAGGTACTGAGTTAATAACCTAGGTAATTTGCTACTTCATATTCTCTGATGACATATGCATGCAGGTTTTATATTCTAATCACTGGCACAGGTTTTGTCTTCTAATGAATGGATTAAAAGACTTAAATATTGGTTTTGGTCTTCCCCAGATGTCATTAAAGAGAAAGGATTAGAGCATGTTACTGTTGATGATTTGGTGGCAGAAATCACTCCTAAAGGCAGAGGTAAGAAAATGCATACATGGATGTGGTAGTACATCGATAAACATACCTGCCTCTATTTCATTAATGTTTTGAAAGCAACATTATGAACTTGCCTGTGTTGGATTCAAGGAAAAATGTTAGTAGCCTAATTTTAACAACAAATAAAACATGTGAATATGTATTGTGTAACAGTCATTCAAAATCTATAATGAGCTGTGTGTGTAGACTACTTTGCAGGTTACATTATTTAGTCATGTCTGTATTCATCTTTATAATTGACTTAATGGTCCCAAGAAGAGTTGGAGTAAGCAGCACAGATGTTTTAAAATTCATGATCCTTTGAGATGGAAAATCTGGACTTTAGTGTAATGGGAATGGGAAGAGTAAAGGGCACAGCATACAGATAGAGGAAAAAGTGGAATCACTTAAGTCTTCTTTATATTGTTCCTCTTGGGCTCCCTAATAAACTTTGATATTAGTGGGAGAAACATCATTCAGTTTTAAATAAAAATAGGCTTTCAAAATAACTTGCTGGAGACCTTTACTCTGAGGTCATGGCTGAGGTTTTTGGTTTTAAATTTGTGAAGAAAAAAGGTGGGATAATCACACTTGTGGTGATTATATCCTGTTTACTATTCAATAATCCTTTCCCTCAAACTTTCCTATTTTCTGGACTATGACTAGGCAAAAAACCACAACAGTGTTCTCAATAGACCTCAATTTTAGCCTATTTTTGATGGGAAAAATATAGATGTGCTATGTGAAAATCAAGTAGTTTCAATTACTCAGTGTATTAACAGAACTGTGAGAACAAAAAAAGGATCAATGTCACTGTTATGAGAGTTCAGTATTGGCATATGTTTTGTTTTGTCTTTTTGACTTTCTGCCTTCTTATTTGTGTTTCAGCGTTGGTACCAGACAGTGTAAAGAAAGAACTCTTGCAAAGAATAAGAACCTTCCTTGCTCAGCATGCCAGTCTTTAACTTTGACCTTCATCTGCGTTGCGTTACAATGCTTCTGTTTCTGTATTGCATCAGTCGCGTCAGGATTGGAATGCAGTTTACATACTTAAGGATGGAAAACCATTAATTTTTTTTGTATGACAAATTGAAATTTCTTTGCACTGCATTGATTTCTTAAACTTGGTGTTATTTTAATAAAAAATTTTGTGGACTCATGGCTCTAAGGCTCTTCTCTCTGTGAGGGCACTGTAATACGGTGTCACCTGTTCCAGTTTTTAACAATCTGTAATTTTTTACATTTGTGAAACCTTGCTCAGATTTTCAAAAAAGAAGGGCAGTTAACAAGTATGGTGACCATGAATGTGAAAGGGGGTAAAAATTGTGGGAAATGGAATATGACATACTATTGAGCACATCCTTTCTGATGAAGAAGTTAAGACTACATGAAAGTGGTGGTGGTGTGCCTCTCAGTAACATTTTTCTAGAGAAGGAGTTGTTTGAAGGCTCTGACTTGTGTTACAAATATTTACTCGGAAATTCATAAGAGGTTGAATTCTTAAAAAAAAAAAGGCAGTTTTATCTTGCATCAATAATTCTCTTCTTTTCACATTTACTTTAATTAAAGAGTCAGTATTCTAATCCACAACAACTACAATTTTCTAGCTTTGCCCATATTACTGGTAATTTTTATTTATTGGATCTTTGGGGCCTTCTGAAATTGAAGTATAATTCAGTAATTTGCTAGCATAAGTCTCTTAACATGATGGAAATTTAAATTCTTTGAGGTGTTTGATTGACAATGAACTGGAGGAGAAGTATAAGCAGAAACTGAATGAGGAATTGAATACTGTTGTGTCTCGGTGGCTACTGTGAAAAATTAATTGACCCAACATAAATATTCATGCTCCTAACTAGAATACTCTAAACCCTGCCATTTAGAAAGTCATTCCTGTGGCAGTGGGCTGTGCCCGTTCCGTGGTCGCTGTGAGTCCCAGCCGAGGAGCCGCTCGGGGGCACCCGCGCCCCACTCATGGGGAGGGCGGCGGCTGCTCCCCCTTCACTCTCCAGTCCCTCCCAGTCCCGCGGCTTTCGGAGAGAACAAAAACTGCTGTGGTACAAAGCCAAGTGTGTGCTGCCCACGCTGGAACCGAGCGGTGCTAAGCCGAGAGCATCACCTGGGCTGGGGCGAAACAGCAGCGGCAGGATGTCCGTGCCAGGCTGAGAGCGCTACAGTCTGCTCAAACCGGGGAATAGCTGGGAGAGAAGAGTCTGGCAACAGCCAAAGGTGAAATTTGGCACTAGACAGGAGTCTGTGTAACCAGGGCAATATCAACATCAATAAGACAGGATGTAATTGGTTATGAATACCTTTTGTCTACTCAAAAGTGTAATATCACAGGACCCAGGATCAGCAATCTGCTGAAGATATTCCTCCTGACAACCTAGGCTGTATTGTTTTAAATCTGTCTTCATGTCAGTTTGTGCATACTTGCTGCATGTCACTGTCTCCATGCTGATAAATAATGGTGAGTGTCAGATATAAGAAAGTTCTTTCTTCCACTTAAAGGTCCACCTTGTTTTTGAAAAAGTTTTTTTACATTCAATTATGTGTCATGGATTAACCCCAGCTGGCAACTCGGCCCCACACAACTGCTTGCTCACTCCCCCCTCGGTGGGATGGGGCAAAGAATCAGAAGAGTAAATGAGAACACCCATGGATTGACATAAAGACAGTTAAACAGGTAAGGCAAAAGCCATGCACACGAACAAAGTAAAACAAGGAATTAATTCGCAACTTCCTGTTGGCAGTCAGGTGTTCAGCCATCTCCAGGAATGTGGGGCTCCTAAGTTATTTTGGAAGACAAATGCCATCACTCCAAACATCCCCCCCCCTTCCTTATTCCCCCAGCTTAATGTGTTGAGCTTGTCATCATATGATCTGGGATGTTCCTGTGGGCAGTTGGGGTCAGCTGTCTCAGCTGTGTCCCCTCTCAGCTCCTTGTGCACCCCCAGCCCCCTTGCTGGTGGGGTGGGGTGAGAAGGAGAAAAGGCCTTGGCTTTGTGTAAGCTCTGCTCAGGGAAAACAAAACCACCCCTATATTAACACTGTTTTCAGCACAAATCCAAAATACAGCCCCATAATAGCTACTATGAAGAAAATTAATTCTATCCCAGCCCAAACCAGCACAGTATGTTAATTCAGTTTTTGACTGCAACTTCATTTGCTACAAGTATGTTCTGTCTGAATTGCATATATGTAAATTTTTTCTGAGTTCTTCATTCTACACTTGATTTGCCCAATACTAGTAATTGATGGAGTACAGAATGTTTCTTCACATGATCTAGCAAAATATATGCTAGCTGAGTGTGTTTTATATATGTCAAAGCGATAAAATACCATCTGTAGTCTTGTTCTTAGAGGTCTTTGCTGATGTAATATATTGCACAGGATTTTTAAAGTCTTTGCTTGATGAATGACTGCAGCATGTCATGGACACACAGCAACTTGCTTCAGAGTTTCCACTTGATTTCCTTCACTGTGGTGGGAGAGGCTGAGATTTAAGGTATTCATACAGTGAACTGTGGAAGGCTTGTTGTCTGATTAGTAAACATTTGAGATTCCACCTAGAACATGACAGTTCAAGTGCAATTGCTGTAAGTGCAGTGTAGTTCTCTGCAGGCAACTCATTCTTGGCACAGAATGAAGACTCAACGCTGTATAAATTTTCAGAAAATTGTGCTGACCAATCTGAAGTTAAAGGTTTGACAAATAGCTCTTTCACTGGCTTCCAAAAATAAGCTGTAAAGCTCTGCCCAGAGCGGCTTTAAATGCAAAAGCGTTCAGAGACCCAGAAGGAAGGGGAGAGAGTGACTGCCTTCCAGAGATACACCAGTGGCTCCTGTCTCAGGTAACACTGGCTGCTCTCTGATACAAGCAGCCCAATGCTGTGTGTTCCCCACATGAGTTCTGTCAATAACACCAGAGCAGCCTCCATTCAGTAGGTAGGCAAAAAACGTCGGACAACATGCGCAGACCCAAATTACATTGGACTGTGCTGGTCAGAGGTATCTTGATGGATCTTCTAAGAATGAAGTCAGATTGGGAGTGATATCAGCAATGGGAGATGGTTTCTTTTTACCTGCAGGTTTATTCTCAGATGCATAGGGTAGCTTGTTCTGCAAACTGTTCTCTGCAGAGCCTCAGTTTCTACTCATTTGGTTGAGTGTTGAAAACAGGAACATTCAGGAGTCCGTCAGAACATTGTCCTGATGAGGTTTTTTTTTCAACACACTGAAAAATAAGACGGTCTATGTTGTTAAAGGTTCCATACCTGTAGCATATACAGACAGATGCATTAACTGATTTTTCTTCAAAATTTCAGCATTTTCAATGTCACTAAATACATCGGTTCCTTACAGAGGCAGACAGCACACAGAACTAGATAGCCAAGAAGTGACAACTCAGAACTGATGTGAATTACCTTGGCTGTGGCTATATACTTCTTTTAGCTGGCAGCCCAGTGTATATACACTCTAGTAGCTGATTTAGCCCAGTCTTTCTGTAGACAAGTCTGCAAAAAAATAAAACCAGTTTGTAAATAGACAATGAAAAAATGGGTTGGATAACAGCTAGAGTAAATCGTTACAGCTCTGGATGCACATTAATCCAAATTCTATGTGACAGTGAATTGAATAGTTCTACTGCTGTCAATGAAAGGCCAATAGAAAAAAGTTAGCTTAGCCTCTCCCTTGGTTAGGCCCTGAGGGGTATGAAGTGCACAATGAACTGAAATTGGTTAGATTCTTAGTACTCCCATGAGTACTTCTCCATATTGACATAGTCCAGTCAAAAAATGTTACAAACCAGTGACATCACCAAGAAATTCTGCTGGCATGTCAAACTTACATTCACTTCTTAGACAGGTCATTGTGATTTTTCCACCACAAGTTTTACAGTTGTTTTATTGGGGTTTATTTCTCTCCTTTTTTCCCCCCATTGTTCTTCATTCTTGTTTACTGCTGTAACATTTCAGTATGGACCTTTACCACTTGGAGAACAAGTACATCTGAAATCTGCTCAAATCCAGTAAGTCCATTCATGCCATTGCAAAATATTTGCTGCTTCTCATTTCTCTCTGGAGAGTCCTTTGGGGTGACAGCTCTGCACCACCTTGCCCATGTCCTCATCTTATGGAATATGTTTAATTGTAGTGGCACCTTGAGAGTTTGGCTTTAACTTACTTAGTGATTGAGTTTTCATTGGAGCAATGAAAATATCCAGTCCTTCTATCTGCTGTATTTCTTTAGCTTTATTTAAATTTCTAAGTATTTGCAATTGAAATCAGAGTTGTGTTCTACTTGGCCTGTTTTTTCTCAGCTATTCAGTTTCTAAAAGAAACAGCTGTGGCTGCAGAGCCAAATGCATAATGACTGGAGCTCAAGATGAGAAAAAATAAATTCCTTTCCTCATAAATAATTTATACTTCACCACTTTAGTGTAATAAATTGGTTAATCAGCATTCTGCTTGGAATGACAAAAGGCCTAATCTCACTTCAGTGTATTTCATATTTACCATGGTGCTTTCCACCTGAACAGTACTATTCCTAAAAATGTTCTTTTTGCTTACCATATGACTAGTGACGTGATTTAGTAGCAGATCATAAAAAATTTCTAATAAATCCCTGCTGATTCCTGTTTGTTGAAGTCACTAGGAAAGTGGTATCCATCCTTTAAATCATTGATCCTGAGGTAAGGTATAAAGTCGCTGCTGATAAAATCTGACAAGGGCAGAGCAACCTGGCCTCTTCTGCTGGCTGGCTCTGATCCACTGCCTGTGTACAAAGTCAGCGTAGTGTTGGGCTTTCTCATCTAGTGCACAGGGCAAAAGCAACACAATTCCCTGGAAAGCAATGACACTGGAAATCATAGTACAAAAATCATCTGTTTCCATGGGATCTTTGAATACAAATGAGCAAAGATAACATTGATCTTAGCTTTGCACGCTGCATTGGTTAGTCTGACACTCATAATGTACAACTCACAATTTTGAAAGAAAGAAGGAAAAAAAGGAATACTGCAAGAGAAAAGAAGTTATTGAGGGCTAACACTGCTAGTTAAGCTTTAAAAATCTCCCAATGTTACTCTATTGAAAAAAAAGCTGATAGAAAATATGGTTGTGATGTGTCATAATCTCCTCAGGGAGACAAAAAGAAACAAAGGGCACTTTAACAGAGAATGGCATAAAGAGTAGCTGGAAATAGAAGCCAGACAGATTAAAATTTAAAAGTACAGCTGTTTAATTACTAGGACAAACCATGAAGAAATATGGTGGATCCTTCATTTTTCAGTGCTTTCCTGAGTACAACATGTCTTTATGGAAGAACTTTCTGGAAATACAGTACTCGCCAATGCATGTTCCCTGCAGCTGGCAGCAGTTGCTCAGTTTCTTCCAGTAGAGAAAGGAAAACCAAAATACTTTCTATAAGGAGAAATGTTGCTTTAGTTGAACACAAGCAGAAGTTGTTGGCCTCAGTACCAGTGTAGGTGGGTGGAACGCAATGCCCTCGGAAGCTACGATGAAAGAAACAGTAACAGTTAAGCATTACAAAATCTTGTTTTGTAACTTGGATTGGAAAACTACAGCTAATGTTTGTTAACTTTTTCACGCACATTTCATTCTGAGATAAGATTCTGCCCAAATCCTGGATCAATTTGCTAACATTTGAGTTGTTCAAATTACATTTCAAAATGCCTGTTGACATATATTTTGCAGGAGGTGTTTCATCAAATAATCAATGGACAGAAGAGGATTGTTCTTCCTTTGTTGAATAAAGATCAGAAAGAGTGTGATCTAAGCCCCGTTTCTGCCTACTGACTGCTGTAATGATAAAGATAACTTAAAATGCTTCTTCACCATCATACAGCGAACAGAAAAACTTGATAATGAAGGAGAAAATGTATTTCTTTCCCTTCATCATACCTTGTCTTTGACTGCTGTCTCTCCTAGGCTGTATATACATGAGGTTACAGAGCTATAATCAAAACAAGTTTCTGGTTTTTTTCCCCCCATCAAAACTGGGATCTAAATTTCCCAATCCAAATTTTACTGAGACAATAAAGTTTGTTTGAGGCTGGCATTGATTTCAGTCAGATTTTGGGAACTCAACACTTCCAGTGGCCACTTGGTCTTGATACGTAGGTGTATGTATAAAAACACAAGTTTCGAAGTTTTGGGGCTATCACATAGGTCTTTTTTGCTTAATTGATTTGTTTTAAAATGGAAAAAGGGAGAATTTTTTCTATTAAGTTCTTTTCCTAACTTTAGAATAATTATTTTGAAATTAGACAATAAGATCTGGCAAAGAGCATGAATAAAAGAAACTCATGTTTTTACCAATAAGTAGAAATTCTTCTAACTAATGCTGAGGTATGAAGAAACAAAGAACAGTTTCATTATTCTGTCCCCTCAAAAAACAAACATACAAAACAACAACAACAACAAAATTAAAAAGAAAATTTTTTGCCTTCCTAAACGCATTTGCCAACAAAACTTCACGACCTTACCTTTCCATACTATTCACTCTCGTTTCCCTAAATGCAAATCATATACATGCAGGCACGAACACACAAGCATATCCATGTGGATAACTATTTTTATAAAGCTACATGCTAGATACTCAAGTATTTAGAGAATTTGAATTCAAATGCTAACACGATGCCTAAGATGCAGCTTCTAATAACTTGAACTTACATTTTTTTTTTTTCCTTGCTAAGAAACACAAGAAAGGTGTGTGAGTCAAGCAAGATTACTTAATATCTACATACAACAGGATGGAAAGGAAGATTTCCTATTTAGTAATGAAGTGATAAATTAGCTGTATAAAAAAGAGGTCCCATTATCCTCTCCCTAATTTATAGTTGAGAAATATGAGGAATATTGCAGGGACAGGGAAAACTGGGTTCTGGCACATAATCACAGCATTCTGTATATTAACTGACTAACACTAAGTACAGAAACACCCTGGGAAGGAGAAGCCAATGCTGTCAACAGAGAGAAGGACCCAAATAATATCCCCGGGAAATTTCTCAGCATCAGGTTAAAATCACACATTCTTCATCACCTCTAAGTTCTTTACAGCACTGAACAAACCAACCAACCTGTTTCAACCTGAGGCGGGTATTCTTCTAGGCTGACTGGGAGTTCTGCCCCACAAAAGGTCCTGTCAGCTGTCTGGGCTCCAGCATGAAGGTCAGTGTTTCACAGAGAGATGCTTAAAGGAAGCAGGATGCTGAATCATTCTCAGGGGAGCAACAAAATTGCCCACTCCAGCAGAGGACCAAACCTGCACAGTCTCCTCTGAGCTCAGGGAGATCTAGGCAGTCACTGCTGCTCTTTGGGCTCTCTTGGCCACTGCTCCCAAAAAAACTACTTGGGGTATGCTCCTTTTCAGTTTTGAACATGATTTTTTATATATTATATGCTTGATAAGAGTCGGTTGAATTTTCCTACAAAGGCCTCTCACCAAGATCATTGGCCTGGAAATTTCCCCTACAAGGCACATCAAGCCTTAGTGGGAATAAGGGAAGGAATTTAAAGTATGCTGGCAGACACAGCAGAGAGTAGAGCTTCAGCCAGGAAGACCTTTAGAGTGAAAAGAGGCTTTCATGAATACTTGACTACTTACTTGGGAAAGGGGTCATATTTTCTACAGGCTAGGCCACATACTTGCCTAGACTTAGTCAAACTCTTTGGACAGTGCTTAGATATTACCCAAAATAGGCGCTTAGAAATACTACATAGAAATGGAAAATGTATCTAACAGTGGAACTGCCTCTTCTCATCTAGAATTTCAACATGACAAAATTTCAAAGAGCAGAATATGAATTTGTATCAGCTGTATAGAAAATTACTTCTGAATTTTGTAGTAAGAACCTGTAATTTTTCTGTGGTTAGAACTACGAAAACCCTACTTTGACAAGAATCAAACACTTGTTAAAGGTAAAATTTCTTCTGGAAATGTGAAACTTGAGGTACTACACAATTCAACAGGACTGTAATTGAGGAAAGGTACCCTTAGTTAAAAAACTATTTGTAGCTTTAATAAAAAAAGACTTAACAGCAAGAGAGCACACAAGTAAATGAAGTGCATATCCCGTAGGAGGGAGAATTCATATTGAAAGAGAATGTATCCCTTTTACAGACAGAATGAGGTTATTAAATAGAAACATGAATGTATCAGGATGATGGAACCATCAGCCTCTGAAATGATGGAAATTGCTTTAGATATAAAAGAAATGACACTAACAAATTTGCAAATTGTCAGATAATGTGGTTCAATATGTTTATGCCTTAATATCTCTAAAACAAAAGCATTAATTTAAAAAGAATAGTTCCCTCAAAAGCTTGATTAGTTTACTGTAGCAGAACTGCGTTTGATGTGGCAATGAAATATCTAAGATTTCAGAGGATCTCTTTAGGAAAATTAATTGATCCAAAGGAATCCAAGTTTAAAACTTCAGAGCTGAGGGTTAATGAAATTTTTAAACAAAGAAGTATTTATTCCTGTGAACATTTCTTTTATAAATGATGTTTATATTATTACTAATTTTGAAATTGCATAATTATGTTTTTAAGAAGGCAATTATTTTTCATTAGTGGTCTGCCAATTTCCAGGATTTTTCATTGATGCAACAGCCACACATAGGTCTGTTGTGCACTTGGGAGGATGGTGTGGGTGAACCACTCCGGCAGTTTTTATATTAAGTGTGGGTGTTTATACGCATATGTTAAAATACTTTCTTCTCACTGTGTCATATTCCCTTTTGAGTATATAGACAGTAATGACACAACCTGAATGCATTCCCAAAAGAAATCGAACTGGCTATCGTCATAACCTAACCTTTCCCAGTGTGTCATGCTAGCAGTTTTGCTTTTCTGTGTGACTGCAGATGAAGATTATTTTCTAGTTTCAGCTTTAGAAAGAAAGCTATACTGAGAGGTATAACTCTGCTACACAAATGCTTTTGAAATGGTCTTAAAACCAGAGTTTCTCTTACTGAAGGCAGGTTCTGCAGGCGTAAGCGTTTCAATCCCACATGAGTAACACCGTAGAAGTGCTTGAGCTTGGCCACAACTGTGCCCTGACTCGCTAAGGACTCTACTGATCTTGGACCAGCACACTGACTCTTGGCTCGTCCTCAGATCTGCTCATCACCAGAATCCTGCCCTGCAGGCTGGACTCTGAACTGCCTCCAGACTGCCCTGCCCCCATCCCGGCTGACGAGGTCTTTGCCCCACAGCCAGCCATATCCTGCTTGGCTCCGTGCCCCTTTGGGGCCTGTTTCCTGATGAAGGGTTGGGGAAATGCAGTCACAGTGTCTGTCAGGACGTGGGACTGTATGATACCAGTGCCTTCTCACAAGAGCCATCCCCCTATCACCCATCTCCTCACTGCCAGAACCCACGGTACAGAGAACAGCAGCAGGCTGGCTGACTGTACTAGCAGAAGAGGAAAGGTTTAAGGGAAGATGCTTAAACAGTGCAAAGAGAGCTGGGCATCATGGCTTGGAGTTGAAGGGAAATTATACTAGTGCTGCCCTAGAATTGACTAGGTTTCCCTGTCAGAAGGGGACAAAACCTCCCTTTACCTCACGTACCGAATGAAACAGAAGCGGAGGCTTCGAGAGCTCTGGAAAATCTTACGTTAGATCACTTAACCAGCCCGTTAGATCACTTAACACGGACAAGCACTTCTCGAATCACCTCGGTGAACTAACTGGGACACTGAGGCCGCACCTGTCAGCGGCGTTTGTATTTCAGTAGCAACCAGATTTACAGCTCAGCATCCCGACGACCACACGGGAACCTTTACTGCCACGTGTGCAGCACCTTGAGTCCGCTAAAGCACAATGTCTTTTGATCGCAGTTCCTCCAAGGGACAAAGACGCGGGTGTGACTCCCCCGTGGCCCGGCGGCCGCTGTGCCGAGCCGCGGGGGAGAGGCGGGCGCGGTGAGGCCTCCGGGGGCAGCGCGGCCCGGCCGCGCTCCGGGATCGGGACCGGGAGAAGCGGCGCGGCCGGAAGGGGCGGAGCGTCTCCCGGGTGACGGGGCCGAGATGGCGGCGCGCGAGGCGGCGGCGGAGCGGCGCGCGCCCGGCTGTGATGAGGGGCGGCCGGAGGCTGCGGGAGCGGCCGCCTCGGCCCCCTGGAGCCCCGCGCTCTGCGGCGAGGCCTCCCCGCCGGGGCAGGTGAGCGGGGAGGGTCGGTCTCGGTCCTGCGCCGCCGGGCGCCGCTTCCGCCTTGCCGGGCAGGGGCCCGGCCTGCGCGCTCACGCCGCGGGGCAGAGCCGCCCTCGCGCTTCTGCCGGGCAGCGCCCCGGCCCCGCAGCGCCGGGCCCGCCGCCTCTGCCCCGCTGGGCCGGGCCCCGTCCGAGGCGGAGAGGGGGGAATCTCACGGACTGGGAAGAACGTGGAGCGGCGGGCGAGCAGATAGGCAGCGTTTGGGGAACTGGGAGGCTTGGCACCCTGTGTCAAAGGGCGGGGGGCGCATGTCCTGTCGGAGCTGGCAGTGGGACGGCGCTGCTTGGGGTTACTTGGTCTGAAACTCTTCATTGTTCACGCTGGCCGGCAGGTTTCATAAAAGGTGATGTGAAGGTTTCTTAGCACACTTACAAAGTCTTGAGAATCTCTAGCAGATCACAGAAAAATTAAGTGCTACCATCTGGGTATAGTGCTTTCTCCAATAACACTGGAGCCTGGCCTGGTCAGGAGAACGGTGGGCACTGTTCCGTGGTCGTGAATTCACAGCGTAAGTGCCTTAGTTGCACTAACTAGAAACGTGACTTTCATTTAATGAGAAATAGCATAGCTTGCTGCTTTATAGCTCTCTGGCAATACAGATGTGCACTGCAGAAGTTTCTTGTAGGTCGTCTTGTAGTGTACATTCATTGTAAATAGCTGGTTCTTGCTCAGACAGCATGCATTGCAAGGTAATTTTGTGGTAGTAACAATGAGAACGTGTTAATTTGTTGTCTTTGGCGTTCCATGTAGTTACTGAAAACTTAAGTCCAGGGTGACAGATAATGACTGGAACAGAACTGGGGTCTCTTGAACTGTGGTTCTGTGTCTGAGAACTTTTTCAATGTTGTGAAGTGATTTACATGAGTTAGTGCATTATGTAAAAGACTTGTTGCAGAAGTTGTAGTGTAGTATCATGGGACTGTGTTACTTCAATCTCTGTTCTGCATGGTTTTCAGAAGACAGCAGCATATATAGGTAAGGAATTGTCAAAGAATGACTGTGATCAGTCAGTGGACATAAACTTTCTATTTTAACTAATGTTGCCTTGAAGAGTAGAACTTATTCTAATTCAGAACAGAAGGCTTCAAGAGTCCACATTAACAAGATTCGAGCTATATTCAGTTTCTTGGAGAGGAAGGGGTGAGATGTGGTGGTATTACTATGGTAGTTTTATGGCTCTAGGAGTGACATGTTTAAAAAAGAGCTGAAACTCTGTATGTTTTCTATCAGAGTGTTGGGTGTCTAGGAATAACTTAGGAACTGCCTGCAGTCACAAATTTTTGCTGCCTTTAGTTAGAGAGACAAAATATTGTCTTGAATTTTGGTATCTTCTCCAGCTCTTAATAGTCTTGAAATCTCTTCCTGGATTTGAGCACCTTGGATGACTTTACCTGTGATTTATAGGAGTGAGCTGTCTTTCATCACAGCTACCTCAACTGCCTAGTTAGGATGCTTGCACTGAAAGTTGGAACTTTATTGCTGAAACAACAGTACCTATTACAGAGATATAATTAGATAAAGGAGATGCCTTCTAATCTTCCCTTTGGGTTCTGCTCCTTTGTTTAATGGCATGATAGCATGGCTTCGAGGTTCAGTCATGCTGTTTATCTACCCATTTATCAAAATCAGTGGTCAAGACTGTGGTAAGTTCTTTTTCCACCACCTTCAGTGTTCCTAATATTATGTTTCTATATAAAGAGATGAAAAAACAAGCAAACAACCAAAGAAAAACAAACACAGAAATCAACCAAGAAGAGGGAATTTGAACCTCTGATTAGGCTACAGAATCATGGTGGCTGTCTTTGAAATGCAGGATGCTGGTTGTGTCTTTTAGTACTTGACTGACTGCTGTTCCTGAATCATTATGTTGCTGTTTTCAAAATACAGAATGTCTTTGTAGCTCTTGTAACGTACATGATTTGCAGGAGGATTTGCGTGCTTGAAAACAGGGTTTTTAGCTCTATCTACTAATTTTCATGAAATTCTATCTCCCTATAAACCTGCTTGCTCATCATCAGATTGACGTGGCCACTCTACTTTTGTAAAATTTCATACAAAATAAACTTTTAAGAAATCCTGTCCTTACCACTGAAACCTTGCTAGGTTTCTATCAGCTGTTCTAGTGAAAACATAAAAGCACCACTTAACCAGTATGGAGTTTTGGTGCTGACAAATGTCAACACTCAAGGCCATGTTAATCTTTTGTACTAGGAAATGAACTTCTCCTTTTACTTTAGAAGGGTGCAGCTTTTTATGTAAATATGTACATGGAGGGGAACCTTTCAGTTTCAGACAAGTTATTTTTAATCTTGATTTAGAAGCCATACTTTGGCTATTTATCTAACTGTGTTTAATATGGGTTAAAGTCACTGATTCCAAAGTGTCTTCGTGTTTTCATTCTAGAGTCACAGATGAGCTGATGTGAAAGAAAATGTAATCAATTCACAAGGCATGAGTAATTCAAGGCAGAAGTTGTCTTTCAAAGATGATATCTAAAGTAAGCTGCACAAATCAGTTGGCATGGTAGAGGAACAAAGGAGAGCAGGATAGGTGCTGTGTAATGAGTATTTTGGCATCTTTTTCACTGACAGTAGTAGACAAGTCCATTAGGAGAAAAAAGTTTCTAAAGCAATTTTAGTACCACAAAGTGACTTTATTTTAGAATTAAATTTTGTCTGTTGAAATACTATTTAAGTGGTATTTGTGTGTACAGTTAGATATGAAAGAGGAAGTGCTTCTCCAGGTGACAGTGTGCTCATTGTGCAGTGATGGTGAGTGAGAGCCTTGCTCATTGAACCATAGTTGACTAACCATCTGAGGATGGACTGCGCTGGCCACTTCTAGTGAAATCAGAGGTGCCAGGAGTTCTAATGAGGCCACTGCTGCAAGCTGAAAGCACTGTAAAAATGTTTCTGTTCAATAAACTGCTGAACTTTCCTTCCCTTCATTCTGTTTCCTTTATGGATCCATAAAATGTATAAGTTGCCTCATTCCTTTGGCTTGGCTCTAAAGTGTTTAACATCTTGCTGCTGCTATCCTTTAATCCTTTCTGTGTTCATCTTTATGTGAGCAGCTGCTGTGACTTTTTACCTGTGGAAGGCAGGATGAGCTGCACAAGTGAAACTCCATCGAAATTTGACATCTGTTACAAAATTGTTGAGTATGACCACTAGTATTAATTTAATTAGGATTCATGTCTTGATTTATTTGCTTATTTATGTTTGTTGTAAGGAAAGTTCATTTCACAGTAAGTCTGATAAATGTAACACATTAGAAGCAATTTCAATAGTGGGAGAAGGAAATCTCTATCCTGTTTTATAAATTGGAAGCTGAGGCATGAGGTGTGATTTGCAGAAGGTTGCATCAGGCTAACAGACAAATCCTATCAGATTTTCTGGATTTTAGTCCAGTGTTTCACCTTTGCCTCTATCTGTTAAGAAATGTGTTAGGATTCTTGCTGCAGCACTGCCACTTAGTACTATGTCTCTGTCATCCTGTGTCATAGTTGACTGCTGAGGCAGTTGTAGTTCCTTTTGGGATTGTTTATCAAGGAAAGGCTTAAAAGAAAAGGAAGACAGAATGTTGTGGCCCTGCCATTCATGAGAAAGGGAAGATACATGGTTGTGCTTCTTTCCAGTGTCTGAGAAGGATGGACAAGAAAAGAATGAAAAGCTTGTTTCACATAACAAGTTTAGTGTAACAGTATCAGGTGAATAAGACTTGCAGTGAACTGAGGAAAATTAGGGTTCTGTGTACATCTGTATTCATACAGCTACTTCAGAGTATTGCTTACCTTTGAGAAATTTAATTACCTTAAAAAAAAAAATCCCAAACACAAAAAACTCCAACCCCAAAAGCCACCAAAGAAAACTCAAAACCTTTAACTTTTCGGGTAGTGCTGTCCTTAGAGCAACAATGCACATGTTTCAAGTGCAGTTTCAGACACAGGGGACAATGCTTGACCTGTCCTTATCTTGAGACAATAATTGGGTCAAGATTGTGTTTTAAACAGCTTTTAGCATGTTGCTAAAATTAATGCAAATATACTGCTTCATATCTTAATTAGCAGTATAAAAACTAATGTAATATCACTATGGTTACATGATAGCATATTGTTGCCAAAACTCTGGTTGTGCATCTGACAATTTCTAGTTTACAGAGCTTAATTGGGAAGACTGTAGTCATCACTTGGAGAAGAGGTAGACAAAACAGTGCCTACTGTCTTGAATCATAGAATCATTAAGGCTGGCAAAGACCTCCAAGACCATCAGGTTCCACCCTTGAAGGGCCTAGTTCTGCCGCAGTTGAAGTGAAATGCAGCTCTAACACAAATATGTTAAGTGGCTGTGTGTGTCTTATCGTAACTCTGAAATCTTTGTGTGACACGTGGAAAGTGGAGAGGCACTAGTTATCTGGTTGTTGCGGGGAATGACAATACCTATTGAACCCTGCCAAACAGGCATGCTGGTGATATTGGATGTAGTCACTCATCTATAGGAATGACCTGGGAAATGGATTAAAATGGATTAACTTCTGGTGGCTAATTCTTGTCAGCATTGGATTTCACAAACCTGCCAGCCAGACTTCTTGTGGATTCTGTTGGGGTTTTTTCAGTTGTTTAGCTTTATATTGAGAATAAATCTAAAATAGAGTATGCAGTTTAATAATAGAAAAAATAGGGATGAGTTGAAAAACTGGGCTTATAAATATGTATGCATACATATATACATATACGTATATATATGTATATATATATATGTCATTGACACACCTGAAGGTTTTTTTGGTTTTAGTTTTGCAGTTAGCAACATTCCTACTCCCTTGACTTGCAGCATAAGTAATATTGAGTCTGCAGAGGTTTTTGAGTAATGGTTTCTTCCTAAAACAACCTTTTCAATCAATAGTTTGGGTGTTGTTTTTTTTTTAATTAAGCATCTATCTGTACTGTTCACTGTGATAGTTAAGTAGTCTGAACAGGGAAAGATGGCTTTACAATTTCAAATATTGAGTACTATTCTATGCCTTTTCTCCTGCCCTCCAAACTGGTAGAAAAGTGAATTCTGCTAGAGTGGAGTGAGCTTCTAAACAAGCTTCCTTTCAGAAAAGGTCTTCCTTTATTTTCATTTCAGCAGGTCACCTGCTCTTCGTGCTAGGTAGATAGCTTCTAGTTCTCTCTTCTAAAAATAGTGTTTTCTTTCACCAATTCAGTGTTAGTTTACAATAATTTCTACCCGTAGAATAGAAAAATTTCCATCTAATTACTATCCACTCTGCTTTCATTAACTTCTGTTATTTCTGAATCCTTCAAATTCTTGACTGATGCATTCTTTGTCATCTAGATATTGTCAACATTGCTCATTGTGAAAGGTAAGGAAGTGCTTGAGCATGATATGAAATGATGGTCCAGTCTTTTAAACTAAAAGTTAAATGTCTTGGATGATATCTGTTCTTGCTTCTTTGTGGGAAGTCTGGCTGCTTCCTATTTCAGTCAGATGAAGAGCCAACCCACTACTGTATCAGGTTCTCTGTGTTTTAAAGTCTCCCATGAAATGAAATAAGACAACAGTACTGTTGAAGTAGAGTTGACACGTCTCCTATGAGGCCTTTCTCCTGAGCTACAGCTTGGCAGTGTGGTCTGTAATTTGGTGGTTACTTACTGACTTAACCTTCAACTTCGCAGTAAAAGGACCTGTTTGTTTAAGAGCCACCCAGTATGATTTTTCAGTAGCAGAAATTCCTATTCTGGACTATATGTGAAGCAATATTTCCAGTACTATAATTACTGCAGTGTTTAATAGTAGTTACATTATGTAGCAAATGAGCACCAATAAAAATAAATCTATGCTCCGTGAAGCTCACAAATCCCATTATGTACCTTTTTAATAAAATCCTCAGGACAGTATTGGAGCAGCCTACCTAATGATCCACCTTCCTGACTCTTCCTAACTTAAAGCCTGGAGTATAAAAAGTGATTTAAATGCCATAGCATATTTGAAATCAAGCTGTCCTTCCATGGAATACTCATGGCCTGAGGAAAATGTCACAGGGCTGCCTTCTCTTCTCACCAGGAGGTATGTTAAATTTGCAACAGAAATGTTGTTACAAGTGTAGATGTACATAATGAAAAGCTATTTGTGAAGCCTAACCTCTTATTCTTTACTCTGACACGTTCACCTGTAGAAGAGAGGAAAGGGATCCTTGAATTGCATCAGATTATTCTGAGTCAGTCTGTACCTATTGGAGGTGATCTGTTGGAATGATGTGGTATACTGAGTATAAATTCTCTAGATTATGAAATTGTCACTGAAAAATAGCTACCAACAGGAGTGGCCTCAGCCAAAGATTTTTTTTCTGGGCTGAGTTTGCTATCATGATCCAGTCTGGCATATAAAAACCAATAGATCTGGGGTCAACTGGTGCTATAGTGCACACAAATGAACAGTCTTTCTTTGATGATGATTTTTCAGTGACACTGATTCTAAAATAAACATTGTCTATTCTCATCATACATTTCTCTCAAAATTAAAAGTAAATTTAAACAGCCAATTTTGGGTTTCGACTTAATGGCTAAATTTATAATTTGTATATGCAAGACATGCTCAAGCAAGCATGAGGTTCTGTCTGATGCTTATTCTGTTCTCCTTTCATTGCCAGTGTTCAGTGTGACTGGCAGTGTCTGAAACAGGTCAGCTGTGCCATCACTGCAACTGGTTGCCTGCATTCCCCTTTAAAAATGTCTTTAGCTATGACTTTCTCTATGATTACGTGCTGTCTCTTTAAAGGCCATATATATTAGATACCTTGTATTATTTACATCAGTGAAATGCTCTGATAGTAGGCAGGTAGCATCTTTGTTCCAGGTACCTCCTCTCTTTTCTTGCATTAGTACAGTTTCACAGAATGCTCCTTGCTTAGCAGCAACTAAGGTAGTTGGCTTTAAGAACTGTATAAAGATGTATAATCCTCTGCATCTAACTTTTTTTCTTTTGCAGGAAGGGTTTCTCACCATGGCCATAACACAGTTTCGACTCTTTAAAGTCTGTACTTGCCTGGCAGCAGTGCTTTCTTTCGTTAAAAAGTTAATATGCAGGTAAACATGTCTTATTTAATTTGGTTGCATTTTCTTTTTCAACTACAGGTTCTTACACTTCTTTCCTTCTCCCAGCACCCACCCACCAATTTCCCCAGTTCTGATTTTACTAACTGCAAAACAATCAAGACAGATGAAAACTAAGTCAGAGTAATTCTTTAATTTGCATATTCCTTCAGAGTTCCAAAAGTCTGTGTAGTGCGTTTGTGACTGTATTTTGTTGTATGATAGCTGAATGAGGTTTTCTAAACAACTATGCTAGGGTTTTAAAATTGCCTTTTAAAACTATTCCATGACAAACTAGAAGAAAAACTGTTCAGTTAAGGGCAGCATCCACCCTGTCATCAGGCAGTTGGCTTTCACTATAAATGTAAGCAATTCTTATCCTGCTTTGCCAAAAAACGGTTGCCTGAGACTTCAGATTCTTCTCCCTATTGAAGATTCTTTCAAAAGTTTGGAGGACAGTGATGGAAACTCAGGGAAACTGTTTTTTGGGGGTTTTTTTATGGTGAATAATGACTTATTTTTTGGTTACTCTTGTAAGTCATACGTAGTGTTCTTTTGAGTTGTAGACCTGTGAATGCAGCATTGTAATACTTAGAAACATTGTCAAAACCCTCAAGAGTTACAGTTGTGTGGTAGTAGAGTTCAGTAGTACAGTAGCAGAGCACCTGAGGCAGATCTTGGCACTGTGCTGTCATGAACTACTGTGCTTCTTACCACTCTTGAAGCACGTTGTTTTACATGAACAAATAGCAACCTGGAGAAATGCATTCTCCTCTTGTGTATGATGATGACAACTTTGCCAGTGAGGTTAAAGCATATGCAGAGTATATAGTAGACCAAAAATAACTGTTTATTTCCTCTTCGCCTTTACTTGTTCCAAAAATAAGGGGAAACTCTCAACTTGTTGGTGAATTCACGACAGATCTAGTGAAGCTTTAAAAAGATACATTTTAATGCTTCATACAACTATATAGATGTCAACGTTAGTCTGTGATTTGAATCCCAAATTAAATTAAGAATACTTCTGTTCAAGTTCTGAAAGAAGTCAAAACACTGAGTTGATAACTTCTATATTATATGGGCTGCTCATTTCTCTAAGTGTTAAGATAGTTTTTGTAAGCTGATAATTGTTTTGTAGATGTAATGACAGTATTTTCATAGTTTTTTCAAATTCTGAATGAACTAAAACCTTGAAATTAACAGCTGAGAAATTGCTTGGGAGTAAAAAAAAGTAGAAAACCTTTTATTTTGTGACTAGTATTTAGTTGAAGGAATGAAAATTTAAAATCTTTCACATAAGCAAGTCAGTGGATCAAATTAATTCAGTTCATTAACTACAGATGTTTCTCCTGTTTACTGTCAGCTGGAAAGTGTAGCTTGATAAATTTTGTGTTTCTGTAATGCATCCCTGCATATGAGTATGCCTGATAACCAGCAAATGTGATTTGATTAAATGTGCATCCTAATTCATTGGATATGAGCTAGTACTTACTTAGATTATACAAGTACCTGTAGAGATTGTGCATCTTCCTAGTAAGCATAGAGCCTACATAGAGCATTAGTCATCTCTTTAGTGAAATCTTCTTTTGATAAATGACAGCCTGCCTGAATCCAGTTTCCAGGAAATAAAAGGTATAAGTATAAAAAGAGATGAAACGTCCATCTGTTTAAACTCTCTAGTTACTTCCTCCAGCTGAGAAATGTGGATGTTGCTGATTAGTAAGGAGAAACAAACCCAAGAATTCTTGTGGCATTTGATATTCAGAGCAGTGATCAATATCTGTCTAATGATGGTTGTGAAGCAGCTCTTCCTATAAGCATCTTGTTCCCTATGTAGAGGTGGAGATACGTAGCCTTTCCTCAGTACTGCTCTGTGTAGCATATTCTTTCCCATGTTGTATGACAAAAGCTTTCCTCCTACCTTCACCCTTGTTAGTGTAATGATTTTGACTAGATGAATGTTTGTTACAAGACATTCCATTGCTGGAATCTTCTAGTTCATATAAACAGAGAAATACACGTAAGTGCAAAGCGATGGCTTAGAATAGTTCTAAAGATATGTATGTTGTACAGGTCTGAAGGTGGATGCTTCCAAGCTTGAGTTTCCTTTAGAGATGTCACCTAAGTCTAGTCAATCAGAAGTCTCTACCAGAAATCTCTAATGTGTTTGAGGAAACAGTGTTTTTGCTTTCCTTTACCCTTAAACTCTGTTGCTTTGCAGCTTAAAGGAATAGTTTGTAAAGGGGCTAGAGTGAATTATATTAAAGCTTGAGAATTTGATGATAGCACCTGATCTTTCCTAAGGAGGAATCTATTGGGCCTAAAGTAGAAAAAGTACATCTAGTCACTTACCAGCATACAGAGAGGTGATATTACAAGCAATTCAGCTAGTCTGAGTAGATGGTAGTATGTTCTATAATACTAAAATTAATGGATAGAAACTACAAATTGAAGTTTCCCAGTTTTATTCTCGTCAGTAGTAAGAACCAAAACTTAACTTTTCCAAGCTGAATAAGGTCAATTACATGTCTCTTTTGCTACAGGAGCTTAAACTCCTTGGGGAAAACATGATTGTAAGCCATAATTTCATTCTTTTGTGTTGTAAGGTTTTAAAATATAGTGAATGTCAGCTAAGAATATTTTAGTTATTATTTTGATGTTTGAATACGGTCATTAAGTAAATATCTAGGTGGTTTATCTGCAATGAATTAGTGTTTGTTTTCAATTAAAATTATTTGATATAGTTGCTGAAATGCATTGAAACAGTATTGTTTTAGTAGAAGCATGAATTGAACAAAAGCTGTTGACTTGCATAATCTTGTATGACCTCTGTTTAGATTTTGAAGGAGAAAGGACTTTAGAAGGGCTTTCAAATCAAACAACCCAGAAAGCGATTTGCTAGACACAGCTTAACATCCAAGACAAACAGAAAAATTTCTCAGTGTACAGCAGAAATAGTTCTTTGACAAATGTGTATCGCTAGTGCTTGCTTTATAAACACTGACAATGTAAAAATTGTAACTGACTTATGCAAATAATTGAGTTAGTTTGTCCATTTTCATATTTCTCAGAAGTATGTCTCCTCTTCCACTGCAGTTAGAACAATAAATTGCACTTTGAAATTCATGTGAACACCACTTTAAATTCATGATAAAATTCCTTTGCTTAGCGGACTTTTACAGGCAGTAGTTAATACTAAGGTAGTTGAAGCACTAAATGTTTTAGCCATGACTATTTTCAGTAGTGCTGTTCTCAGACTTCCTTTTTGTTTTTTTTAAACTTAGTGCTCATGTTTTCAGAGCTTGGAGGAATCCTACATTTTTCTTTCAGGTCTGGAAGAGGGAGAAAGTTAAGTGGAGACCAAATAACTTTGCCAACCACAGTGGATTATTCATCTGTTCCTAAACAGGTAATTGTTAAAGTGGTAGGTGATTTAATAGATAATCTCTTAACAGAGTGATTATAGCAGTCCTACAACAGCATTGGTATATTTCCAAGAACGATATAATACTATTACATATGCTGTATAATATTAAGTATATATATCTTAGCAAGATATAAAAAGACAAGTTTTTACTTGCAGATAGTATTAACTTGTACCATATACTTCTATTCAGCCTGAAGTAGAAGACTGGTCTTCATGGGATGAAGATGCACCTACCAGTGTGAAGATTGAAGGTGGAAATGGTAATGTGGCTGCTCAGCAAAATCCTTTGGAACAAATGGAACCTGATTATTTCAAAGATATGACACCAACTATAAGAAAAACTCAAAAAGTAAGTATTGCACTTTCAACTATACTTATGAAGGGTTTTCCTTGCTTTAAAGTAGGCTGTAAGTAAATCAACTTATAGAATGTACTTGTTAGTAAAATTAAGCTGACCTGTTGAAAGGAGAACAGATGCTTGTGTGTAGTCTAACATGTCCAGTTAAAAATGCTGACTTTGAGATTTAACAAATGTGATGCTATTTCATGTTTACATCTTTAGTCTTAATGTTATTGGAAACTTAGGAATAATTGCATAGTCTGAAGGTTCTGGGAAGTATAGTGTGAGAACTCTCTAATAGTGGAACACTGCACTAAGATGCTTATGCTCATACCCTTCCATTATTTGAACAGAGACATTCCATGTCTTAGTCTACTGAAGTCTGAGGGAGCAGCACTGCAGTTTCAGAAAACAATGGTTACTTCTTTAATGAAGTTATATTGGGAGGCTGGAATTAGGGGACTGGTATTTCAAAATAGCTTGCTCTTCAAATATCGGTTTTTATTATGGAGACAAGACAGAAGGTCATATCTACAGGAGCATCAACACTGTAAATAGATGCTGATTAAACTTCTGGTAATTACAAGTTTTGTTTCTATGTGCAAATCTTTCAGCTGGTTACTTACAGGTCTTTGAGTCAGTTGGAAAACCTCACAACAAAGGCTGTCAAGTACTGGAACAGGTTTCTAGAGAGGTTTTGCAGGCTCAGTCTCTGAAAGTTTTCAAGCCCTAAGTGGATAAGCCCAGATGACTTTCATCAGCCTCTGAGCTGATAGTGCTTTGAGGAGGAGGTTGGATTACAGACCTTCTGAGGCACCCTCCAACCTGAATCTTCCTGTGGTCCTATGAACTGGAGGTGATACTGGTGTCAGTTTTCCGTATGTTCAGGATCTGCAGTATTCTGCAAACTAAATTCTTCTAATGAATGATTTTGATCTCCCAAAATCTGAGGGGCAGAGGAGAACTGAGGAGATTTCTCCTTTATATCTACAGACATTTTTTGCCTAATAGAATGACCTTCAGGTTCAGAACAAAACTGGAGAATAGTCCATGCTGTTTGAGTACTGTATACTGGGTTTATTTTAAGTGTATCTCGGGATGACTGCATGCACTGTAAAGAATATTCCTGTTAACTTGGCCTACTTACTTAGATGTGAATTTATGTTTGTATTTCCATCATATGTTGCCTCAATATAAACCCCAAGATTTGAGGTAGAATCTACTCGTGTTGCCACTCATCTACACTCACCTATTTGGAAATGGAACTTCAGTCAAATAACAGAGTCTGTCATTGCTAAATAACACTGTCTAGTCCTGTTTCCTTTCTTGCATTGATACTAGCATTTGTACAGTCAGTGGAACTGTGAATCTGCCTCATTGGGAAAAAGCAGAGACTTAAAGTGGGCAAAATGAGGTAACTTTATGACTTGAGGTCAAGACAAGGGAGGGAAACGTGATCTTAGCAACCATGTTAAATTTCATAGAATCATAGAATCAGGCGAGATGGAAAAGACCTCTGAGATCATCAAGTCCAACCCTTGATCCAACACCACCATGGTTACTAAGACCATGGCACTAAGTGCCACATCCAGTCTCTTCTTAAAAACCTCCAGGGATGGAGAATCCACCACCTCCCTGGGCAGCCCCTTCCAATGCCTGATTACCCTCTCTGTAAAGAATTTCTTCCTAATATCCAACCTAAACCTCCCCTGGCAGAGCTTAAGACCATGCCCTCTTGTCTTACTGATAGCTGCCTGGGAGAAGAGACCAACCCCCACCTGACTACAACCTCCTTTTGGATAGTTGTAGAGAGTGATGAGGTCTCCCCTGAGCCTCCTCTTCTCCAGGCTAAATTTGCTAATACACCTTTTAGGAGAAGCACTAGTGCATGTTTTTCAGCCAAACCAGTCCAGTATGGAGCTTTACTAGATGGTATGATAGAGAATTACTTTGCAGCTATTGAAACTGTCTGCACAGATATGCTGAGAGAGCTCACACTGCAGTGCAGTGCAGCAGTGCAGACAGCACTACCCTCAAGGGTAGTATCTTACAGTGATCTATCACAGAAGCAGGATTTCTCCAAGGAATATGTCATGTAGTTGGCAGCTTTTATGAGTTCTAGGAGATATTTGATCTGTAATTCTTTGTGCCCGTTCTCTGTCTTGATACAGTCATAGGTTTCCCTGTGACTAAAGAAGGAGCTAATGTAGGGAGGGGGAGTTCTTGTCTTTTGCATTTAGCATCTTTCACTTATCAGTTCATTTAACTGTACAGCTTCCAGGACCTGACCAGGTTTGAGACACAGTGTGGTGGTGTGTAGCTGTACCTTCACAGGCACAGAGTTAAATGATCACCAAGGAATCTGTGTCGTGCTTTGATTTACTACTTTTTGTTCCTGTTTTTGAATATTTTCAGATAGTTATTAAAAAACGAGAGCCTTTAAATTTTGGGATTCCAGAGGGAAACACAGGATTCTCCAGCAGATTAGCAGCTACACAAGATATTCCTTTTATTCACCAGTCTGTAAGTATGCTCTAAGTATTGATCTTGTATTTGATGGTTAAATGACTGTTCTGTAGGGGAAGGAATAGTCTGTCTAAGGTATGCTTTGTGGGGAGTAAGAAGAATACTTGTGGAATAATGTAAATTGTTTTAAAATTGAGTCTTTGATTCAAAGAATGAAGTAGTTAGTCTAGTTTTAACTAATATATTCTACTGGGAAACTTGACAGAGAAAAAGGTAAGAAACTTCCATACACTTCTCTGCTTGCAAATCTGCTAAAGCAATGACCTATAGGGCTTTTTTGGTTCTGCCTAGTAAGTTACTAACAAAAGAGTGGATGGCTTTTTTGAAAGCCTCCTGTGTTGCCTTTATTTTATTATCTTGGACCCAGTTTTAACTTTCTACTTTTCCCTTTCTGTAGGGATTGTATTCTAACAGTCTCCTAATTTTTGCTTTTTAGCCTTTGAAAACATAGTCTAGTTACCTATCAGCATGACCATTTAACAGGAGATGCTTTCCCTCCCTTGCCCTTTGCTGTCTTTAACAGTGCTTCTGCTTTAATTAGCAAAGTGCAAAAAGGGTCTAGGCAGGAAGCCGTACAGGATGGTTGTACCACCTCCCTGCACTGTCCATAATGAAAATAGTTCAGGAAAGGACTTCTAGTGAGTAAAAGCATCACTCAGCTGATATTGGGCATACTAACATATGGATATACATGTTGGTTTGTCCATGCGACTTCCAGAAATCTTTTACACTATCTACTTATTTAGTCTGCTCAATTTATCTTCCTCTTCCCAAAAATGCACTCCAGTACTTCCTTCCTGCCTTTGTCCAAAAACCCCTTTGACAACTGGAAAACCTCACTATTAGAGCAGGAAAAAAGGCAATAATAGACAATTAATAGACAATAAGTTGAGAAGCACTACCATATCTTAAATACTTCTGTAAATCTTAAGCACTAAGGTTAAAAATAGATATTAAGGAAACTTTCCCGTCCCTACATCCAGGAACCACACCGATGTTTTTTCTTTTTCCATGTGCTTAGAGCTTCTCTTTTGTTTCAGCCTGAACTGGGAGACTTGGATACTTGGCAAGAAAATACTAATGCCTGGGAAGAAGAGGAAGATGCTGCCTGGCAGGCAGAAGAAGTTCTCAGGTAAGTGAAATTGATGTGACACATGTGAAAGAATCACATTCGTTTGCTTATTTAACACCTTTCTGGTAAGTGCTAAGAATTGTTAAATACTTCTTAATACAAATTATTTTTGTGCATCTAATCTCTAAGTAACTGGCAGTTGGCAGAGGACATTTTGGATTTAATCAGTTTAGTGGATGAGATAGTAGGGGAAATCCAAGAATCACTGGAACATGAGAACAACACATTAACACATACACATGCACATGCGCACTAAAAACCAGCCCAATGATGCCTCACCAATCCCAGTGACTTATTATGTGCAAATAACAGGTTTCAACTTGGTTAAGTAAGATACCACTTGATGTCCTTATAAAAAGGATCATCATCATGTGCTTAAAGTAAAAGTAGTTCAGGATAAAAGACGAAGTACTAAGTATATTCTTGGAATCCCTATAAGAGCTATGCTTTTCTAGCCAACTTAACTAAACTAGCTGATAAAGCTGAATGTCAAAGTCTTGCACAAAGTTAGAGTGAATACTTCATCTGTTCTGTCTATGTTCTTTTTTTCCCTTTTAAGAACACATAGAAGGAGTATGGAGGTTAAAGAGGTGCAAATTGAGTTTAAGTTAATCACACACAATGATTTCACTTTGCAGTGACTTAGGGTTTTATCAAACTTTTATTGGTTGCTTCATCATCAGGTAACCAGCCTCAGATAGCTGCAGCTTCCTAGACTGTTCTCATTTTACTCACAATATCACAAGTACATGGCTTCAGTGGTCCAGTAGTGATAATAAAGTGAAGTAAAGACGTGATATATTAAAAAAATCATTCTAGAACTGTGAATCTTTAAAGGAAAAAAGATAATTTCTGGGAAAAAAATTCCAATCAACTATTTATTTCAGTGTTTTGAAAAACTTACTTTTTTCAGTCTGTGGAATGAGGGAATTCACCAGCACACTTTCAATGCAATATTCTTAATTGTTTCTGTTTAATGTCTCTGTCAGCCTTGCTCTGCAGCAGCTTAACATGTGAGAAAAAGATTGTACTGCAAATATTTTTGTAAACTTAAGCATTTATGTGTACGTTCTCGTCAATATATGGTTTTTTTTTTAACTTCAGTACTGTTTCAGTCTTGTGTTTTGGTAATGCATAACAGAAGTACAGGCTTTGTGATATGAGTGATGTGTCTTTGGGCTGGTTTTGTTCCAAGGATAGTAGTTTTTCCCATAAAAAATAACAATAGGCTCAGTAAGATCTTTAATCTCTGAAGTGCAGTCTACTGGGGCTTAAATGAACGACAGTAAAAATGCTGCTCTTTTTGAGCTGAGAAGTAAAACAACTACTTTTGCTAACTGCAGAGGCTGCATAGTACTTTACTTAACCCTTGCCACATTTCATTACAGATGTTTTTAGGACTCTCAAAAGTAGCATTCAAATTTTCAGAAACAGGGGCTTGTCCTATACAAATTAGCTACTAAAATGATCTGGTGTATGTATATGCCAGTTTGGCATGTAAAATTTGTGCAGTGGATATTTCCAGGATGGTCAAAGGTATATTGTCTGCCAGCTGTCAGGTTTGTGCTCTAGAATACTTAGGAAGAGAGATCTCTTATGTGGCAATAGCAGTGGGATTTTCCCTAAACCTTCATTTTTCAAAGTGTCATGTTATTTGGTTGAAGCTATTATAAAGATTTCAGCCCATCTTTACTATTGAAAGGCTTCAGCTCAAGTTATTAATTTTGATGAAATTCCTTCCTGGCCCCACTAAAAAGTATCAAACTTTACTTTTTATAGAAGGGATTTGCATGTGTCTAAATATTTCCAGTAGCTAGAACATGATTGGAACTGTAGCTGTCTCTATGGCATACCACTTGGTTACCTCAGTACAACTGGTCATTGTGTAAGCTGTATCCCAGCTGTGTGAACTAAAACCTTTGTTTTATTCATGACATGCAAATGGCAATGTTTATCTGTAAATGAGCGAAGTGCCGGCTGATTTTTAGCAAGATTGATAGGAAATACCTGCTGGGTTTACACTTTCTCTTTCAGTAGACATCTGTGATATATTTAACATCTGATATTAATGTAGAACTTTAGTACAGTACTTGACAGGCCTGGCTCTGTTTTTGACGGACTGTAATAAGGAAGTGATATGGAGTCTCCTCTTAATGCTGGTCTGCAAAATGATCTGAAGATTCCATGGCCTCCCTGGTGACTCAGTGCACAAGGATAACAGTTGAAAGAAGCGTGTGTAAGATGCTACTAAATGGAGGAGAGAGTCCTCCTAACATTCCAGAGTGTTAGTGCTGACTGTACTCCAGTGGTGCTTTTTGAGAATAAAATGAGTGTGCAGAAAAAGCGAAGGTCTCCCTCAGCTAGCTGTGTCTGGGTACCTGTTGGTGCTCAGTTAGTGTTTGGAAATATCTTAAGACTAGAATAACTTTTGTGTAGTAATGGAGTGCTGATCAATCATGGAAAAATGGGCTGTGGCCTGCGAAATAGCAGAGAAGACTGTATCCTGTGGCCTCTCTGGTGACTCAGTGCATAAACATAACAGTTGAAATAAGCATGCACAGTAAGCCAAATGCTCTCTGCAAAGCATGCAGAAAGGCAGTGCTGAGGATTAGGCTACTAGTGCCTGAGAACTTCCTGTAGTCTCTTTTTTTCCCCACTATCCAGCAGGTTCTGGGCTGGGATACATAAAAATTTTCCAGTGATGGATGAATCAGTGTAGCAGATGATAAACTGGATTTTCAGTTATTTTAGTTAGTTGGAATTTGTCTGCAAATTTTAGATACCTATCTACAACTTAAAACTTTCTATTACCAATGAAGACTTTTTCCCAGTGTGAACAGTTAAGCTCGTGCATTTTTAGTTTATAGTAGCTATTTGTTTGTGTTTTCGGGTGACCCGTTGCTCTGTCCGAGGTGACATGAAAGGTCTTTCTCATTTGGGTGTAACCGAATACAATTTCTTGGCCCGTAGAGGGCGCGGAGGCGCCGCTGTGTCATCACAGGGAAAGAAACCGGAGCTGCCGTGATCAGTGGCATTGCTTAATGCACACCTCATGTGGCTTTTTGAAACTACTGTCTCTACATATTTGCTGCACAAAGCACTTCTTCCCCTCTGCATCAGTTCAGAGGTGTGGGGAATGTAAGAAAATTTGCTACTGTAAAGTGACAAATATTATTACTCTGCGTATGCTCGACTGACAGCACTGTCAACTGTCCAGCTTTCAGGTAGAAGGTAAATAGTGGGTGATGACCTCAAAAACCCCAAAACTTTTGAGTTACTGTTAACTTGGGAGGTAGATCCTGATGTGAATGACTATTTTCATTCTTCCATGACTGACAGCAGAGCAGCTTAGTAGAGTATAGGAAAACTTCTAGCCATTAATAATCAATCAAGGGAAACAAGGTATTAAATAAGTGCAGTCTGTCTCCTGTTCAATACAAAGATAATATGTAGACTTTGTACCGCAAATATTTCCAAGTTTTGTGTGCCCAGTTTGTCCATAGTTGGAATCTACCAGAGAAGGTTGCTTCAGGTGATGATACTTTTTAACTCTATATGTTTTACACACCTAAGTGGATGTGCTCAGGTAATGTAGATACATTTAAATTTAACTCCCTCATCAATTAGAATTCTTTATTCTCTTTTAATAAGCAGTTCTTTATTCTTACTAAAACTGTGTTAAATTTCACCTTTTCAAGTTAATGAAGCTTCATTTTTAAAGTCCTCTTGCAAGCAATTTAGGATGTTTTTCCATATCTAATAAACTGAATCCAAAGCAGGAGTGACCTACTTAGATAATACAGGAGAGAGCTCCAATGTGTCACTTGGAGTATGGATCCAGTTGTTGGTCCTGCACCACTCAGTAATATGTTCTAGCTGAAGCAGGGGAATAAAATGAGTGAATTTTTCCTGTGTTCTTTCTTTCTTTGCTGTAGTCAGCTATGTATTTGTTGAAGTTGCAAGACAGATTCTTTGAGCTAAGAGAGTGATGTCTGGAGTTTTATAACAATTATAATAATGCTAAAAGGATACCCAACTGAAGACTTACTATTTTTTTTTTATTTCCATAAAGACTATTGTTTATATTTGTAGCAGACAATAGTGTACAATACAGATCCTCAACTCCTGATGGGGAGTATTGGAAGATACCATCTCATCTGATCATGACAAAAATGTTCGCAGTACTTGCATTACAAAAGGGGTCACTACTGATGCTTCTACTGAGGGAAAGGGGGGACACAAGTCACTGTTCTAGACAAGTCAAAGTGGTTTGGTCTGAATTTGAAAAGATGGGTGCTCTTGCTACTGAAAGCATTACATAGATTTTTATTTTTTGCATTAGCCCTTATAACTGTCCTAAACTCTCACTGATTCACTTTGAGAATTTAGTGGCTTTTAGATTACTAAATAATTGAACAAATATTACTGCCTAAGACCAAATTGGATGAGGTTGGATATTAGAAAAAGGTTTTCACCCAGAGGGTGGTTGGGCACTGGAACAGGCTCCTCAGGAAAGTGGTCACAGCACCAAGCCTGACAGAGTTCAAGAAGCTTTTGGACAATACTCTCAGACACAGGGTGTAAGTCTTGGTGGTGTCCTGTGCAGGGCCAGGAGCTGGACTTTGGTGATCCTTGTGGGTCCCTTCCAACTTAGGGTATTTTATGATTTTAGGTTAATTTGAAAAGAGTTGTTCAGCACCATAAAAGAGTAATTCTTCTGAGCCTAACAACAGTAGACTGAAGCTCTGTTTTTATTAGTTATAATAAACTATGTATTGACAGGAACTTAAGGTATGAAGTCCTTATCCATAATGAAAATTGGATTCCTGTTATTTAGCAATTCATGTTTTCTTTAATTGCAGACAACAGAAGATAGCAGAAAGGGAAAAAAGAGCAGCAGAACAACAGCGAAAGAAAATGGAGAAAGAGGCACAAAGGCTAATGAAAAAGGAACAAAACAAAATTGGTGTGAAACTGTCCTAACAGAAACCAAGCATCACTAGCAGTGCTGGTGAAAAGAAAATTTCAACTCTACAACATACATATGGGTATCGATTTAACTATTTATAGGACTTCAGCGCAGTGCTTGGTTTCAGTGCATTCTTCAGATCATCTTGGAAGCCAGGACTTTCCCAAAATATCTTGAACTACTAGTACATGGTTCTTAAAGGAGAAAAACCCCGCAGAAAATCATGCCTTGATGGAATGTTTCCTGCAATAGTTCTATTCCAGCACCATTCCTTGGAGCAAAAGTGATTGACAAGGATGTTGATTGAAAAACACTTAATGAACAGCTCAAGCCTAGGGAAAAGAATGTAAATATTGAGTGGTGGGAAATCTACTGTATTGTCTGTGCTTACCTGAAACATGTAATTAAACAGTTTTAAAGAACCCTTTGCTTCCTACCTGATAAAAGGTGTCTGCTTTTGCCTTTTTATCAATGTATTTATAAACATTTCAGAGTTTTTCATGGGAGATCATATTGACCTGTGCAGGAGAAAATAACTTGTTATGGATGGCCTGCAACTCAAATTGTGCTCCTGGTAGGTTATGCAACAGTAGAGCACAAGTTACAGCTGAACACTAAAAGTGGATTTCTTGTCACTGTCACTTGCAGCTTCCTGTGCTCCCTTGTTCATTTACATGTGACAGTGCAATGGCTACCAGCAGTGGCATCAATACACAAGAGTGGTGCACCTTTTTTATAAAGGCTGATGTTGTGAATGTAAGGGAGTGTTTTAAACACTTACTTGTGTTGGTAAATTTGTATTTCTGGCAGAAATTCTTATACTTCCTACAGTTAAGGAAAAAAATCTTCACCCCTTACACTCATTGCATAGGTAGTGTAGTTGAGAAAAAGAATCATGTCCTGCTGTTAAAAATGCTAGTGTGAAAGTTCAATTACAAGCACTTCAAATTCCATTTTTTTGTACACTTACTGTATGTATTTACAGTGGAATTCCCAGGTAAAGTATGCATGGTAAATGTGCAGCAGAAGGCAACAGTGCTTTAGTGAAGAAGAGAAGTTTAATGTCTGCTGGAAAGAAGTGTGTAGGAGGAGAGGGGTCTGTATACTGCTTGTGTCCAGCCCAGTACTTTGGTGGATACCTTTTCCACTGTTGTGCAGATACTATTATCCTGAATTCATGGGTTGTATGGATTACTTACCTTGTGATAGAGGAGTGAAGTTAGCACATTCTGTGCCTGAGAATTTTTTCCTGTGCCTACAGGGAACAGTGAAGTTCTAAGAGAATGGGAAGTATAGGGGGCCATGTGACTAGATCTTACCTGCCTAGACAAATAGAATTTTTAACTAAGTTGTAGTGGGTTCTGGCACAAGTTTTGCTTAAGAAATAAATGATTGAGAAAACAAGATAGTAAGAATTACTTTTAATGGCCTCAGTCATGGAGAAAAGTTCTCAAAAATGTTTCATATGCTTGTCATGTAGCTTTAAATCTTGCACAAGTCAAGTGATTTGACAGCAATTTTCAGATGTTAAATTTTAGAATATATTTAGAAGGCAACACTGCTGTGCGTATTTTCTGCACAAGTGTCCTGGCTGGAGTAGAATGAGTTACTTCAGTGCAGACTAAACAGCAGTATGGCAAGTAAATCTGCTCCCACTACACACCTCCAAAGTATTTGACAGTGGATAGGAGATGAGGAAGTTTATGAATAAACTTCAGTAACAATCTGTGTTTGTCCTTTTAAGACCACTGAAGAAGCAAGGAGGTACCAGTCATAATTCTTTCACTATTGCTGACACAGGGCGAGAAAACTGACTTATCTGCTGCCTGTTTAAGGTGACACGGGTTGGAAGCTGCATCTCATTTTTAAAAAAATAGCGCTGTTTTTGAGACAATGTAAAGTAGATGCAAATCAATACTGTTTATTAAAAATAACAACAGAGGGGCTAGTTAATAAGTTGCAAACAAAACCTCTGAATACATCATGTAAGCACATCTGACTTTTGAGCCTTCAGCCATTTTAAAAACCTTTGGGTGGTGCCACCTTCCCGCATGTCAGTCCTCCTGCATTGCTCTTCCCTTCTGCTGTTACTGCTTTACTGTTCTTCTGTCTACTTTCCCATACTTAAGCATAGCTGCTCTAGAGAGTCCTCCCATCTCTGCTCTGTGCTGACATGAGGGAGGGCACTGCTCTCAGAGGAAGTCTCTTCCACAGTAACAACCCATGCGTTGTTATCTGTTTCATCTTTTTCTGTGCTCTCTCTTCTTTCCTTCCTATATCTTGATTTTTATCCTCAACAAATATGAGAATACTTTTGGTAAACTTATTGTGAGGCTGCTGTGCTGTCTTTTCCATTGGTTTGGTTTCCTTGAGGGATCCTGTACACCCACTAGGTACACTTGTTTTCTTTCTCTCCTGCTGCCATAGGTTCTTCCTTTTCTCTCACTTTCCACCTTACCCATTCTATGATTCTGTGAAGGGTACAGGTGAATCTCTGGTGGTGAGGGGGTTACTGCTTGAGTCTCAGCTTTCAGCAGCTTAGGGGCATGTTGGGTACCTCTTGAGGTGCATATTAAAGAAAGGCTTTTTTTGTTCCTGAGTTAGAAAGAAAATGTTTATTGGGACTATAAATAGGCGTCCCTTCAGCCTGGGAAGGAGCTGACTTGGTTCCTGTGCTATAAGCCTGAATTCAATAACATCTGCTATTTTACCCTTAACCTGTGTGCTGCATGTCCTCCCCACCTGCACATTTTGAGACAAGACTTCTGGTGCGAACAGGTGTGGGTGTGAGCATCTTCTGAACTCAGAAAAAAGGATGGGAGTTTTTATTGAAGTGCTTGGAGGCTGATGTCCTCTCCTAGCTACTCTGTACAACACCAGCGGGATCCAGGTGAGACATCACTAAGACTAAAGTGTAATATTAGAGGGGAAAAAATTAGGATGGTGTGTTTTTAACAATTGGCGTATCCTCTATGGATTGTGGAACAAAGCTCAGTTTTTCCCTGAAGTCTGAGACTGGAGCATTTATTATGGTACTTTAGGCCTCTTCTTACAAAGGGCTCCTTGAGCTGTCTACATCCCTGAAGCCGGAGGAGGAAAGGTGGAGGTTTGGATGCGAGCTGAATTTTGGATAGAGATCAGAGCAAGGACTTTTTACCAGGAATGTCACCTCTTGCTGAGTGCAGTTAAATGCCTTATGAGAGCTGAGCAGACTGAAAGATATTTAAAGACGGGAAGAAGCTTTGATGTTATGTTGGTGTTAGTCTTATGTCTTAAACAGCGCATTTAAAAACACTTAAAAACATTACTGCTAAATGTAGCCTGCCCAAAACATGGTTTGAAATTAGTTTGGCCTATTGACATTTTTAAGTGTAGGTTTGTGCTGCTTTGTTGCCTCTTGCTGCAAAAGAAGCCCACATAGTTGCAGGTGAATGCATCTCCTAGAACTGAAGATTACTTTTTCCTCTGAATTATGCTCCATTTCACTATCCCTCAAAGTGAAGATCACTTAAACAATAGTGGCAGTAAAAGAGAAATCCAACATTGTAACATCACGTATAAAATACTGCTCTCTTGGCCTTGCACAGACATACTTCGAAGTAGGAATAATAAGGCATTTTCTGTAATATGTTTCAGTCCCAAGAGGAGATATCTAGGAATTAAAAAATTCCATGGTTGTGTAAAATTTACATTAATCCCTCTAACTATTAATTTTGACTCTAAGTCCATATAATTTAAAAGCTTTTGAAAGTGACCTTTGAGCAGTATCCATTGCAGCAGTGTCACAAGGCAAGCCAGCTGGCTGCAGGCACCCAAGATGGGAGAGCACGGAAGAGGAAGTTACGGCAAAGCAAGCACGATGCTCTCATGTCCATCTCTGTGAACTCTTGGGGACTGACTATTTACATCAAATTATCTGTTAGATTTCTCTTAATTAATGTAATGCTTAATTAAGCCTCTGGAATCTCTGTTGCAAACACATAATAATTCACAACCCAGGCATCACAGGGACATGAAAGGTGCCCAAGTTGCCTGTGTAAGTGTCAGTGCATATCACCCTCTTGAGTGTTGCAAATGCTCCCTGTACACTGGCCAATTAATTATATTCCTCCTTTTTGAATTACTCCTAACTCCCTTCCCAAAAGCTGCAGAGCAATGTACAGCAGTGTCAGGCTTCACTGGACCCCTTCTGCTCTGGGTTGCACAGGGAAATACTACCCTTGTTTTGCTGAAGGGGAAAATGGGAGGCCAGTGAGGTTTAAATAGCCAGAGGTGCTGTTGAAAACTTGGCTGGAGCGAGAGAAACCGCACTGTTTCATCTGTTGGGTAGTGTTCCCCTCCTCTGATCTATCCACAGATCTCAGGTTTTGGACATGGAGAATAGTTTGATGGTCACAGTGTGCACACTGAGACTGCATGACTGTCAGCTGGGTTAAATGAGGCCTCCTGGACCTTTGTTAAATGCCAGAAAGACTGATATTGTCCTGGGATTGCCGCAATGAGAAGTTCCAGGTTTCTGGCTGATCGCATTGGGTTAAAGATTAGGTCACATCTGTGAATGCAGCCTCGGGTGGCAGAGGGTATGGTGTGTGCATCTACAGACCGACTGGAGCCTTTCATGAGCCTGGCTGAGTGCTTACACTTGGAGCTGTACTCAGGTTTCCTCAGTCTAACTGTTTCACTGTTACAGGACCTGATAGAGTACTTCCTCCAGCTCAGGCCGTACCTGACACCTCAGCTTGGATGGGCTTTTTTCTTATATCTTTGCTACAGTAAAACTCTCACACGTTTGACATTTCTATCATGCTTTACTTAATTTTGTGATTATAAAGATAATTTACAATTAAGCAATTAAATAAACAATAAGTTAAAACACAATACATTTATACATAGTATTTCAAAGGGCTCAAAAGACTATCCGGTTCCAATACATTAAGACTTTAAAACAACATTAAGAGTCAAAGTGTATCCACGCCTATACTTATCATTGTAACAAGTGTGAAGACTCCCAACAGTGTACATTTTTTGGTTACAGTCCCTGTATACGCACAAGACCAGTGAAATGCTCAAGCAATTGCACAATTGAGAAGAGCACTGCACAAGACAGGCACAAACGATGTGCTGGAAGCTGCCTGGGGAATACGGGTTTTACCTCTAAGTGGAATTGACACTTGGGACAACAAATGGAAAGCGCTAGCATGCTTTCAGGAGCACAGGTGTGATACCCTACGGGGAGTGAGTCTCCATGTCACTTACTTTAACACTGTAGTTTCGCAGATGTTTCAGGTTAGTGCTGTCTAGAGAAATACCCCACCCTTCTCTGGCCATTTGTCCCTGTGCACATCTCACGCCATCCTTGAACCAGTGCAAAGTGCTCGTACATTCACTGAGTGAACCATCCAGAGAAAGTGACTGAGCTTAATGCTAACTCAGCAATCGGACATAAGGAGCACTAGCTATAGCTCCTGATTTCCCTGGTCATGTTCACTGTGCAGATGCACTGGCACAAGAAAGACACCAGCACAGGGGAGGGATCCGTGCCTGGGAGCAGGAGGGGTATTTCTGTAAGCAGCAGTACTGTTAAAAACATCTGTTAAAAACATCTTCATCTTTTTTATTTTGAAACAAGGAACATGTTTTTGAAGTGATTTATAGTGCAAATCAAATAGTCAAAAGCAAAATGATGGACTCTGCCAGAATATACAGTAACTTTTTATAATCTATTTCATCCCTCCTTCTCTCTGCCATAGCCAGTTAGTGCCCAGGGACAGAGTAGACTTTAGGTTTTGATATTGAAGGGTGTTCGGCGTAAAGAGTGCAGGGCCACCAGGCAGCAACCACGAAGCAATGCTCCAATATTGTAAATAGGATCTGTTCCTCCTCTCTGAGTACTCAAAGCCCACACAATAGTTGGTACAACAGGGGCTGCTACAGCCAGAAGATCTCCAAGGAGACTGTTGCTCCAGTATCTCCTCTTTATTCCTGTATTGACATACTCAAAGCCTTCATCATCATGAGGTTCTGTAAAATCAAGTTCTTTCATGAAACGATTTTCATTAACTCCGTGCTCCACCTTTCTGCATGGAGACTCCATGGGAGACAAAAGGATGGCAGAATTGGGATCACTTGGAGTTAAGTCCACTATGATACCAGAATCACTGAAGCTTTCAAGAGAAAATTCACCCAATTCCTTCAGTGAAGAAGGTGGGCTTAGAGGGCAGGTATCTTGAGCTCTGAAGATGTTTTGAATGAGCTGCTCCACATCTAGGCTATATGGCACCACGTCAGTCTGGATGGCCTGCTCCACCATCATGTTGTTGCTTTTCTCTGCCTCCTGGCAGTAAGTTAGTTTCCCGTCCAGAACGATTTCAAGCATTTCTTTAGTTACAGAACCACTGAAGGGAGCAGGATCACTCAACTCAGAGGTTGTGGTGGTCAAACTCTCTCCAGATGAGTCAGTCCCATGAGCTCTGTCTTCACTAAGAAGCAGCTCACTGTCTGCCACTTCCTCCAGAGTTTCTTCCTCTGTGATGAGGCTGTCTGGCACAGTGGCACACAATGCTAATGGCTTCCCCTCTGAGTCGCACGTGTATTCCAGGCACTGCTCATCCCTCACAGAGTGGTTTTGAGCAATCTCCATGCTCTGCAGCAAAGATTCCAGTTTCTTGTTTTGAATGTTTATGTCTATGAAGTATTTCTGAATTTTTTTGTCTTTCTCAGCCAAGCTGTTTTTCATGGTTTCAATAACCTGCTTGAGTTGTTTAATTTCACTTCTTGCTTCCTTTAAGGCGAGCTCTGCCTCCACACGATTGCACTCTTCCTCAATCCAGTCTTCCCTCATCCGTCCCAGTTGAGCTTTAAGCTCTTCTATTTCTGTTTCCCTGTAGCAAAATAAAAATGTTGTAACACTTCTGCTGACTGATCAGTTGAAGTCATCATGAGGCTTCATCACACAGGCATGGCTATGCTGCAGAGATGCTCCAAAAAGGAAGGAAATTCCTCCAGGTGCTATTTGCAGCCACCTCTGAGAGAGCCAGGACATGCTGGTTGATTGCTAATCAGTGTTACTGGCCTTGCCACACAACCAACAGCCTTGTGGGCTGTGCCACATCTCAGACATTTTGAAGCACAGGTGGTCACCTCTAGGTCAGGTGTAACCAGTGCAGTGCTTAACATCTCACCTACTGCCTCGCCCTAGAGGAAATGGGAAACAGCTGCTGGGACTCATCCACCATGCCTGCCAGCAGCTTTTCAGGTACAGCCAGAGCCAATGCTGGCCTCAGACAGCCAAGTGGGGGTCATGGCTGCAGGCATCTGGCTTGCTTTTCCCAGCATGGAGCCAGAGCCTGCTGCAAGCAAGTGGGGTTTGGGGGCCCCTATCTGAGTTGCATCCCTTGCAGATGCTGAGGTGGACCATATGGGATCCTGGGGACTCTGTCTTGGGCCTCCATTCAAACTGCCCTTTGTACCCCCTTGGATTGTCTGTGCTGGAGAGCCAGTTCTCAGAGTGCAGTTTTTGTGAAAGAGACAACATCTGTTGCTGTGCAATGCACATTGTCACTTCTTTGTCAACATCCATACAAAAGGTTATTGTTAAAAATTCAGTATATAAGCAACAAAAATACAAGTGGGCACACTGGTTTGAGTGTGAGGGGAACATTCGCAGTCATATTTCACTGAGAGAGGCAGAACAGGACACTAAGGCAATATATGCTGGCAAGTAGAAACTGTTCTATGTATAAAAGGCCTCAGTGCTAAATCTGGCTTGTAAAAAGTTATCCTTTGAAAATATTCAATTATGAAAGTTCCAAAAAGGGAGAAGAGACAGCTATATTTATAACTAAACTGCTTGGTATGAAACTTGAAACACCTGAAAACAACCTAATCATAATGATCATATTTCAAATTTCTTAATGGAAACTTTATGTGATCAAAAAATGAGTATAAACATTCAGGATTCCCACCCCCAAATGTTCCCAAATAAATCTTTCCGACACTGATTTCTGAAGTGAAGCTTACCTTTCTTTAAGTTTGCTCTCAGATTCTTTCAGCTTGGTTTTCAAATGCCGTACTGCCACTTCTTTCTGCTGCAGAGGAGTCAAATACTGCTCTGGATTTTGTGGTTTAATGCTGTGATTGTCACCACAAGAATTGTATCTCCCTGATCGCCTGAAAAAAACCCCAAACAAACCATCACATAACATCACTCCTACAGTTCTTAAGTCTTCGCAGAAAGAAAAACGTCGCATTGACTGATAAATGCAAAGCTTGACTCATTTAGGGCTTCTCAGTGTCCATACAAGTGACTCCTCTGGCAAATCAAATGACTTGAATGAACAGCAGATCTGAGGCTATAGTGCAAAATGTACTATATATGTACTTGGCTTCAGTGTCATTACATCAAATAAGACTTTAAAATACCTAGCCATCCCTTCACCCGAAATGGATGGTGTGTCCAAGAGCAGGCAGCTCGGCCCCTGGCAAGGGCACCCAGCTGCAGACACAGCCAGGAGAGGCAGCGCAAGGAGTTCAGCTCTGTACAAGAGTTAAGAAGCTGAGCACGCTGAAACCCACATTCATCCCATCTAGCTTTAGGTGTGTGTCTGACGTGCTTGGCTGTTAAGTTGTCTGATAGAGAGACTGAGGGAAACAGCAGCAGCATGGTGGCAATTTCTTCTCTGCAATACGTGTCACGTGCTCTGGCAGGTATCTGTGCTCTTTCCTGTACAGGAAACTGCACTTCTTAGGGAGGCAGGCTGAATTTTCACCCGAGTGTATCATATTTCCTGTACTACCCCACCCAACTCTCTTCAAAGTGAAAGAACCCTACAGCAAAAGAACCAGTAAATTCTCATGAGAACTGATGACATGAAAACGCATGAAGTAGCCTGCCTTGGAGTGAAAACCAACTGCAAAGGGCTCTGACGTACAGTAAACTTGAATTTTACGGTGGTGAAACAATAAGGCTTTTACATGGTATGGAGCACCCTGTTGACTCTCAAGCCAGCAATAAGAGGAATCACACCTATGCTGAGGAACAAGGTCATCTGCGCAACAACTCCTATAGCTGATCCCACACTACAGTGTAGAGAGGGTAAGTCAGCGCGATGAACACCGGGAGGCTGAAATACAGACTTACCTCATCACTGGGCTGCTGTCGCTTCCTTTGTATGAGCCTGAGTTGCTGCTGCTGGCTGAAGAAGCCCTGTAACTCTGATGGATATTAGCAGGATTCAGATGGGTTTTGCACAGTGTTGACGAAGGGTCCTTTCCATGGGAAGCAGGTGGGCTGGCTCCAGACTTGTAGGACAAGGATCCGTTATTCCGACCATAAGGGCCACGACTGGAAGAGAACCGAAATGGTGAAAGCATTATCCTCATCACAGAACCCATTATATGTCTCATTTTACACACAAAGTTCTCTAAACGCTAAACCAGAGAAATAAGTGAGTGGCCGGAAGGAAATAAAGTCCTGATGTTATCAGACAGTGCATGTTCTTTCACTGACTGGGGTGGTCTCAGTCTGAATTACGTGATCTAGGGAGACCTCAGCCATTTTCACATTTCTCTGTGGACAGCACAGTTCCCAGTGACTCTGTCAGATCATCCATGTTCTCTGAATCTCCTTTAAGTAATGAGAGGACTGTGGTCTGGACTAATGCCAAAAGAACCACACTTCAGCTTTCCCTGGCCAGGCCTGTGGAGCGGTGCCTGCATGTGGAGGATTGCTGTAAGGCTGCTTTCATGCTCCTCGGCAAGCAGCCTGAGGGATCACAGCGTGCAGTGAAAACAGATTTTGTTTGGGCCACTGTTCTTTTCTGCCTTTGGCATAGTGGGTGCTTCATCTGTCATGGTCAGCTATTCATTCGCTTAGATATCGTTTGAACTCCACAGAGAGCAGGCTGAAATAGTATTAAAATAGACAGTAGGAAACACAGCCTTTTCTTTCTTTCACCCAGTTTTTCTCATACGTATCTACCTTCCTTTTCCCACTCTTTATTAAATAATCTATCAACTGTGTTTGCTTGAAATGAGTTGGTACCCTCACTGCCTGACAGCTGCCCAAGGGCTGGAGCACTCTGAGGACAGCTTCCTGGGATGCATTACTCTCCTGCCTCCTTGATTTGTCATCTTGCACTACTACACTGCTTCCTTCATTCTCTGTGGAAGTTGTTCTTCTAAATGGTAATTAAAGGGCAGGTTAAAAAAAAAACCAACAAAACCCCTAAAACAAAAACAAAAACAAAAAACCCCCACAAACCAGAAAAAATTAAATCCATTCAGCGAAAGAGAAGACTTGAACATAAAAATTTAAATACCACAGAACTATGAAGCATCATCTCTTCTTTAAATTGTTTCACTTGGTTTCCCTCCTTCTCTGCAAATGGAACAGTTTATAAGGAACAGATGGTTGAGTGGCTGCTGTGAACCTTCATCACACTGCTGTGGTTTGGGTGATTTTATAATTATTTTACTATGAAATGCAGGACTGTGGTTTGTGACAACACTGAAATGTTTCATAGTGAGTTAAGTCAAACAGTTAAAAAAGAACATATTGCAAAGGAGATATCTCTTTCTACTTAATACAGTGTATCATCAGCTCTGGTGTGCAGCAGAACTTGCACAGGCTTCACACAGCAATGTATCTGAAGGAGCCTTATTAGAGAGGACTTCTGTCCAGTGAAGTAGGTCATTATGCTCTAATTTAAAGTTATATTAAAATGCAAAGTAGTACATGAAATGATAAATAATCTTAGTGAAAGTAAGGTGATCAATCTTACTGAGAGTAAGGTGATTTTAGGGCTTCAGATTATACTTAGTACCATTTTTTTCCCACAGCCAGTAACTTTACTTGTTAGATGTAATCTAGAGAGAGCGTAAGTAATGTTTATTTTTCTAGCAGTCTCATGATACAGATAGGAAACCACTCATTAAGCATCATTCTGACAATCTCTGTATGCTGGGGCACATTGCAACCATGAAGACGTCTGTGGGACTCAAGCATACGAGTATCCCGCTGCCGGTCCCAGGCTGCCTGCCAGCTCTTTCACAAAGGGCAGGAAACCAGTCCTGTCAATTTGAACTCTTTCCTCCTACTCCGCAAAATATAACCAGCAGGGATTGCGGGGGCAGAACACAATGTGTGCTGCTCCATCCCAGTGCCCCTGTATTTGCAAGCTGTCTGAATTTGCCATTCACACACGACAGGGAGAAATCTTACAGAAATCTTTCATGAAAGGTTCATTTAGAAACATGATTTAAAAAAAAAAATGTATATAGTTGTGGTTATCTAAAGGTTGGGCAAGGGTATTTCAGAAAAAAACCCCAACAACCCAACAAAAAACCATCAAAGGCAATATTGTCTACTTCTTCCTAAAAAAAATGAGATCATGATCTCAAGGGTGTATGCCAAGCTGATAATTTATGACAGAGATAAAACAAAGTGATAAGACCAAAAGGTTTAGATTAACTGGCTACAAGTACTGCTGTTAACTAACATAAACCCAGTTGCTCTCTTCTCCACTGCAGCCAATGCCTTTTCTTCCTTACCAAGTTGTATCTCCTATACTTGTTATGAATACACAAAAAAACCCCAGCAGTCGGCTGATCTGGCATATGGACAATTTTTGTGCACCAAATACAGAATTCTCCTTTCTTATTTCACAGTTCTCATCAGTGTGCTACCCAAGAGCCTAGTCCTATCCTGATTGTTTTAAAATGCAAGACCTTACACAGTAGTCTATCTTCATACTGGCAATATTCAGTAAAAATTGCTTTGCTTACTTGCGAGAAAAAGAAGATCTTTTGCTTCCAGCAGCAGACATATGGACTTCAGGTGCTGAAATACTGCCCGTGCTGCTTGAAGAGCTAAAATCAGCTTCACTGCCTGGAAAGGAAAAGGGAAGAGTAAAAACATGATGGAAATTATAACTCAGATTGTTTTCAAAATAACAGTGAATCACAAGCATCCTTCCTTTGTCTGTTCTGGGTGAATTTCAGAAGTTGCATGGATTTTCAAACATCCCTGAGGACAAGTACTGGATTTGTTCCAGATTTTCAGTATTTCTTCAGAACTGACACTTCAACAAGAACAGAAGAAACATTTGGACACAAAACCCTCACGCTACAGAAGCCATTTTAGGACTTGGATAGGAACACTTGTTGTGACAACCTGTTTGTTTTCTTGCAGCCATCAATAGAAGAATGAGGCTGTTCACGTGGTTCCTTAAGGAGCACAGTGATTATAAACACACAATTGTAACTGGATATTTCTCATGCTTTAAACCATACAGAAACACTGCTTCCTGCTTCTATTTTGGTTTCTGAGATGACATACACATACATGTATATAAGTATAGATGAGCATAGGCTAACAGGGTATTCATATATGTATGTATACACACGAACAGGTTTCATGTAGTGCAGAAGCATAGTGAGGCAGTTCTAATAACTTTAAAATAATCCAAAACCACATGTAGCTCTCAAGTCCTTCTCAGTTACTAAGTCATCTTTCTGATGACTGATTTTCTATGCATCATGGTTTTTATTTCCCAAGCTCTGGCATATACAAGGAAAACTGCTCTCATTTTGCTAAGGTCAGTAGTAGGTAGATATACTAAGAAAGTCTTACTCTCTGGAGAAAAAAAACAACACCTCAAAGTTAGAAATTTTTTCCAGTCTGTCACTCAAATGGCAAATGTCCTAAGCCATACCCCAGTCTCTTGCTGTAGAGCCACAATAGTGAATGGTGACTTCAGCCGAGGGGATGGAAATAACTTTCCAACATCCTTTAAGCAGCTAATCAGGGGGAGCATCTCCCACCTGCGAATTTCTGGGTGCTGTCCCATGCACAAATATCCCCAGACAGCAGCTGCAAACTTACCATTTTTGCTATCTTTTCCATATAGGGGAGATATAGCTGCAGCTACCACCATCCCCACTGTGGCAGACAGACCTTCAAGTGCTCAGTCTCTCTTAAATTCTTCGCAAGCTGATGGTGATGGGCGCACCTTGCACCCCAGAATACCTGGGACTGGGAAAAGGCCTTCAGAGCCTGGCTTCACAGCCTTAAAGAGGCTGAGACAGCCAGCAACCATGCTTACCATCTGGCAAAACTTAGCAACTGGCCCTAGGATCAGGCATGCTTGGATTTAACCCAATACTTTCCCTACCTCATCAGGTCCAAGACCAGCCCCCGCTTCTCTGTGCCTCTTCATCAGCCCAGCCCAGAATATTCCTCAGCCCAATTTCAAAGTGCTCAGATGCAAAGCTTATCTCTTCAAAAGGGGATCCTGGGGACCCAGCTCTACCACCTCTAACCAGCTCTTTGTCCCGTACAACACCCCCGATAATCAAACCCAAATAGTCACAGCTGTAACCAGATCAGAGCTGCGTACAAATTTGCAAGAGGAGGGAGAGCAGCAAAGCCACTTGGTTTCACAGGGTATTTATATCATGTCTACAGATGCAGATGTCAGTGACCCTCTCCTTGGGGAGGCAAAATGATCATGATGTCCAAAGCTGCAACAGAGTTTTCCTGATAAACAAAACATTCCCATCTACAAGACTAAAGTACACTTCAAATACTATCCCAGTACCACACTACACCCCAAACTACTTTTCCAAACAAGGCCTGAGCAGGTAAACATGTCACATGGATGTCGTACCTCTGGAGTTTAGGTCCCCAAAACATTCCTGCGCTTGCAAGACACCAGCAGCTTTCCCAAGGCAAGTCCTGGCTGCAGCACAGAGAGCAGGAGCCCCAGTCAAGGCTCATCTCTGGGTAAGTAGATCACATCATAATCAGATCTCGCTATCGAAAGCATTTCAAGGTAGCAAGGCTTAACAGTTGCCTCTCCCTGACCTGCCTGGCTTGGAGCACCAAGAGCTGCAGAAGCTGGCACAGCTGATAAGAGCCACCGGAGCCTGAAAACACAACCACACCAACAGCAGAGCTTTCGGAAAGACTGAGCTGCATCTGAGACCAGGAACTGTGTCTGCAAAGCACAAACTAACCTTTCTAGCCCCCGTTCTAATAACAGCTACACACAAGCTTAACACTTAGCATAAGAGACTACTTATGTTTAAAATTAGACATGTGGCTATTTATAGGATCTTTGAGAACATTTTATAAGTTAAAGGGGTCACTGCTAGTAATGATTCCAAGTGTGTAAGTGATGTTCAAGCCAATTTTGTGTGTAGCAGTGCTTGACAGCAATGCTATTAGGAGTCTTTAAAAAACATTTTCTCCCATTTGGTAGACATCTCTGAGCAAAACAACATGGCATCTATCCATAAAACGTCAATTGCAACATATTCTCCTGGGTAACTTCTGTCTAACAAATATTTTAACAAAAAGGTGAAACTCCTTATCTAACAGCAATGTGAGCAGGAGCTGAACATGACCTCTCGTTCCCCTAACGCCATTCTCCAGGCTGAGAGCTCCCTAAGGATGCCTGTTGACTATATTTGTTACTGACAATGCGATTGCAAAAGCCCCAGAACAGCCCACTAATTCAGCATTAGCCATGAAAGAGACTGACATTTCTCAAAACCACATTGCTTTTTCCTAACTGGCCAGAACACTTGTTTAACTCTGACCGGAGACTTTCCTGCTAAGGTCTTACTAACCCTTTCCTGCAAAAGATGCTACAGGTTGAGTCACCAGCTTCGACGGTGTCTCCTTTGGAATTCATTCATACATATTCTTCCGTGCTGCAGCCACCAGTGTCGCAGCGCACAGAGCCTGCCGGCAGCCGAGCCAGCCCGGGATGCGATGCTGGGAAGCCCCTCGCTCCGGCCTCCCCCGCCTGGCAGCGGGCTCCGAGCAGCAGCACGCCCACGCCATGGCAGTGGAGCTGTGTACTGCGCTGTGCAGTGGGAGGGACAACACAAGGATGGCCAGCAAAGTACCGTCACATTTTCCAGGATTGCTGCTTGCCGGGAATGAGTATCTGAGAAGCAGGAGTGAAATCTTGTAGTGTCTAGTGCTGTCCCTGCACTTTATTGCCCCATGGGCAGTGGTCCAGAGCTAAGAGTGCGCTTCAGGCAGCATCACGCCTTGTGCTGCCTTTTCGTCTCCTCCTGCCCTGACGGAATCGCGACAGTCACCGAGCTCAGCTGACACGGAGGGACAAGAAGGGAGCTGTGACGAGGCGTGCGGGCAGCGCGGGCCGGCACAGCCCAGGCAGAGGCAGGGAGGGCGATGATGGTGCTGCAGCCGCGTGTGCTCATCTGCGACCACGGCTCAGGGAGCTCATGCTGTCCTGCCGCAGCACAGGAATCCACGGGGAAACCTACTACGAATGCCTCCAGGGCAAATTTCCCCCCTTGCATGTGATGCAATTACAGATTTCGGGGCGGGATGGAGGAGATGCAGAAAGCTCCTTGTGCAAGGGCCAGTACGCCTCCAGCTGGCACTACTGCGTGTTTATCCCACTGGTGCCGGGCAGCCACCACGCCTACGTCTTGGGTGTAGAAAAGCCTCACCTTTAACTCTACCCTCTGCACTGCCTCAGCCATAGTGCAAGGACAACGACACAGTACAGTGACTGTATCACACACTGCATTCACAGCTTTTACAGGTAGAACAGATTAGGTACATCAGGCTTACCAGAACAGTATGCTAGCACAAAAATACCATGTCAAACCTTCTTACACAAGATCACACAACAACCCCACATGAACTCCTGGAGTATGGCATCCCAGTCTTCTATTTCTAGCCATTACAGATGCTTGGAGACTTTGTTCTATGGTCTTCTGGCCACAAAATCTTAAAATTTTGCTTGCACTTTAGCATTTAATGTTTTTCCTTCTGTAAGAATAAAGCTCAGAATTTCTTGTGTGCCTTTTGTTGCCCATTTGCCATCAAAATACTAGATTAAAATTAGGTAAAAAGGAAAAAATTCAAGCAATATCTGTGACAGGAACACTGACAGCTCATCAGCAGAACTGGACTCCCCAAACTCAGAATGCATATGGGCTTATTAAAATTTTGGTTTTTGTGTATGTCTTTCCTATTTGCAACTTCACCATTGCTTCATAGCTGCCAAAGTATATAAACCACAAAGCTTATCTATTTCTGACTCCATAAACATGACCTCTTTATAGGTATATCTGTCTTAAGCAGGTTTTGCGTATAGTCAGGGAAACAGAGCTGTAAATAAAACAGTGCTGACAGATACAGCTTGTCCTCAAAATGTAAAGCACTTAAATTTGCTGAACCTTCTTGCCTTCATAAGCACCTTGTTATACAGCAAAGAGACCAGAATAAGCAAACATTTTCACCACTTTGGTGCAGCTACTAGAGGAATAGGTGGCAAGCTGTCTCCCTAGAGAGCTTTATTTAGAGACCCCAGGGACAGAATTTGGGCCTGATTGCATAAAAAAATTCCCAGAAAAATCATTAGAAGCAGCTGAAAAAGTAGAGTGAATTCAGTTGTAATATCTGCTACTGAAAAGACTTGTATTTGTAAGAGATTTGGTTTAATTTATCTTGAGATATTTAACTTGCAGCTACATCTCTACCTCCAATATTTTACAGCATAAGCAGTATATATCCAGGAAACATTAACACTGCTTTTATTTTTCTATTTAATATGGAGTTGTTCCTGCAAGATTGATTTTGCACACCACAAACAATCTAGGAAAGAAAGCCACATGCATGGATGGATGTAAGAAAAAGAAGCTGTAAAGAAGTGATGAAGTCTTGCTTTAGCATTTCAGGCTTTTCTTCAGATGAAACCCTTAAAAATGATCCATTTCAAAAGCAAGGTCTCTTAGTGGGAAATGCACTGAATTCACACTGTCAAGACCATAGATGGGTTCCAGTCCCTGGCCTTTGACTTAGTACTTATTTTACTTCTATATATGAGGCTCTTATCTTGG